GGCTTTGATCAAAGCCTCCAAAACATCAGTGGCCTGACCCTGTTCTTAGCTGCTAGTTTGGCCATCTAGGTAAGATGATTGGGGTGGAAATCTCTCCAATGGTAATACAGTAGAAGAGCTATGCCTGCCAGGAGGACACAAGCCCCTTCATTCCTGTTCCTGTCTCAACCTTTGAATGACATTTGACATATGTAGGGTGTGTCTGTGTATTTTTAGAATTTTTAGAATTAAGATTCCAGGAAATTCTATTATTTATTACCTGGTAAGATAAAGAGTTTAGAGACAGGACAAAATAATAGTTAGTGCACAACTACTTGGTAAGATCTATTAAGTTCCAAGTTCTTGTGAAGAAAAGGAATAAGATAAGTATCGCCAATGTGAAATAAGTGTTCTTGCGATTTGCAGGGAGAAATAAGAATTTGTTCTAAGCAGACACAGCATTTTGTGATGTGCAGAAAATGAACGGACCCAACTTCATCCTATTATAAGCTTAGCCTTTCTCCTTGGTTAGGAAGTACATTTAGTTACTAACAATGAAATACCCCTAATAAGTCCTAGGAATTGGGGGAATAATTAAGGTGGCATAATCAAATCGGGTTTTAGTTTTCTCCAGGAATCTGGAGGTTGGGTATCTAGGCTGGTACAGTAGCTTCATGATGCTATCAGGAACCCTGGGTTCTTTATGCCCAAGTTTTAGTGTGTGATTTTCATCCTCATTTTTGTTACCTTGCCATCCAATAGAGTTTAAATTTCAGGCAAGAAGAAGAGAAGGATTATCTAAGCCTGTGTTCTTTTAAGGACTTTCCTGGAAGACCCACCCAACAATTTCTGCTTACATTTATTGACTGGGCCAGTGTTACATATGACCACTCTCAGCTTCAAGGGAAGCTGGGAAATATAAGTTTTTTGCTGGATATACTGTTGCTTTGAAAAAAAAAATGGGGCAAAGAAGAAAAGAATAAATGTTGGAGAGTACAACATCTTTCTGTATATTCTCTCTAATTCTCACAAGGAAGCAGAGCCTATTATCCCATTTCACAGATGAGAAACATGATATCGGAGAGGTCACTTGCCCAAGGTCACTCAGCTTAACTGAGATAGAGTCTGTTCTTGAATTCACAATTGACTGGCTCTAAGCCCTATGCCCTCTGATTTTATCTTTTTTGGTACCGGGTACTAAGCCATTGAGCAACACTCCTAGCTCTTTTTTTATTTTTATTTATCTTTTTTTACTTTTGAGATAGTGTTTTACCAAGTTGCTTAGGGCCTTGCTAAGTGCTGAGGCTGGCCTTGAACTTGCAATCCTCCTTCTCAGCTTCCCATACCACTGGGATTACAGGTGTGTGGCACAACTCCCCGCTGGGTTGTTGTTTTTAAAAAGTGACACATATGAACAAAATGGTCACTGAGTGTCAGTGACTCTGTGGTTTTGGACCATCACTGATCTATTTGTTCATGATGGTAGTGATGACCTGCACAGGAAAGGCTTGTGTCATTTTAGCTGAGCATCTGTGCTCTTCCTGGCCAAGTCCTCTGAATGACAGTCCTAAACAGCCAAGGGGTGCTTCATTCTTTCCCACCACTGTGCTGAATTGAGCATTGCAGATCTCTTTTGTGATAAGTCACCTGACTTGAGAAGTTATGTGTTAAGTTGTTGAGAATGCAAGGAGGAAACCAAAAACTCTTTTTGGCCTTAGATCTCATAGCTTAGTATGTTAAATGTTTAAGTCAGGGAAAGTTGGGCAATAGGGAATATTACTTGCACCTTTCTCACCTGCAGCCACAGCCTGAACATTGTGGGACCAAAGGAGCATATTATATAAGTCCTAGGAACTGGGGGAATAAGGAGCTGTTTATAACCCAGAAGTAAACTGCTGGCTGACAAGCAGACTACCATCCTTTTAGCCACCCTCTAAAGGTTTGTTTTGCATTGAGTGCTGGTATTAATCTGAAGAAAAGGATATATAATCCCTATAAAATTGATTTCCAGGAATTACTAGCATGTATCCTCATACGTACACATGCAGTAAGGACTATGATTTTTGTTATAAAATAAACTCCCAGGCTAGAGGAGACTAACAAACTCCACGTTGTAAGGTTAAGTATTTATAAGAATACTATTAAATGTTACCATGGCTAAATTGAACTTGAGGGTCATATGGCTTTGAAGGCAGAGGCTATTTTCCCTACTACTTTCTTGTACCCCAGGTGTCTATCCCAGTAAGGCATGGATAGGTGTTCAGTAAATCCTTGGTGGTTGGTTAGTAAAGAAAGCAAATACAATTTGTTGGGCTGAGACATTGCACTTACAATCCTTAGGTTCTGAAGCTGAAGAAGCCCTCATTTCCCTTCAGTTCTAATGCCATACATGTTGGTGGCATGTTTATTTCCTATCTGGCTCTTAATGACGAGGTGCTGTTTGTCTCTGGGGTGTGAATAACAAGAAGATAGTTACTTGGGTTTCCCAATTGGAGTAACCACTTGGAAATATTGGAGCAAGTGAATCCAAAGTGGTGTGCTGGGTCGTAAAGCTTCCTCGACTTAGAGTGTGACCCAGAAAGCAGAGCTTTCATCATCTCAATGGCAGCCTGAGCACATCCTCCATGGGTGGTTTCCTGAAATAGTAAAGAACATAAGAGCCACGTTAGCCAACTTGATGGATGCTGGTGGGTTACACTGATGAGGAGTAAAGGAAGGAAGGAAAGTTTAATTTCATTATGCACACCTTGTGTAACAGAGTTGCCCCTTCCTAAGCCTGTGTAAGAATCAATTTTTCTTGAAGTAGAGGTCCCTGAATATTTCTCATATTTTCTTACTTCTGGAGCTGGTAGACCCACTGAATGTTAGCAGTGGAGGGGTTCTTAGAGGTCACTATTTCAGAGTGTCATTATAAAATGATGTAATAGTCCTTCCAGTATAAGTAGTAGAAACCAAAGTCTTAATGAGAAAAGGAGTTTATTGGTTCTCAACCAGAAAGTTTTAGAATGTATCTGGTTTAGGTGTGGCTCTATCTGGGACCTCAGGCCTAGTAGGACTCTATTTCTCTCTAGTTGCTTTCTTTGGTATCGGCTTCATTCTCAGTGTCTTCCCACATAGTTGCAGCAGCTCTCAAGAGTAGCTCTAGCCAAAGTCCCAGGGCTAACTCTAATTGGCCTGGGTTGGGCCATGAACCAGTCATTGAAACTCTGAGGCCTCGGGGGGACAAAGAGTAGCAGAGACAGCAGGGCCCAAACTATGTGGACTGGAGGGAGGGGGATCCCTAAATGAAAATAACGCTGTTATCAGAAGGGCAATGGATGAAGGTGTGGGTAGGAAGGAAGGATGTCCCCTAGTGATGAATAAAGGGAGGTCTTAAGGAGCATTATTATTATTATTATTTTTTCTCACAAGTCTTAGGATATCCATGGAAAAGGGCATTAGGACATTGACAGAAGCATGATTGCTTTTCTCAGTTCTCCATGCCTAAATTGTGCTGGGAGTGTATTTTCACCTCATACTAATATTTTGTTTCCCAGATTAGGTTGATTCTGCTCTGTGCTGATTGTTAGTAGCTGAGGTTCTAAGGTTGCTGCAAGGATACCTGGGGTCTGGCTGTTGAGATGTAAATGCAGCAGTATTTCCATTATATTTTCTGAGATTGAAATGGAGACCTTACTGGCTTGACCATTTTTGAGTGATGCATCTTAAACAAATAAAAAAAATTTTCTTTAAATTTCAGATCATAGGAAAGAATGAACACTCCCCCAGTAAATTCTACAGAGCTAGAATATCTTCATGTCAAAACCTGATAAAAATATCCCCAAATAAAAACTATAGGCCAATTAAAAGAGAGAGAGAGAGAGAGAGAGAGAGAGAGAGAGAGAGAGAGAGAGAGAGAGAGAAAAGCAGCTTAAGACTAGAACCTTTTTACCAAGGAGTGCAGCTGAACTGCTGCCTCATTAAGCATCTTTTTCTAGTCCATCTGGGCTAGAGTATGTTCCTCAGACTCCAGTGGGAATGCAGACTTAATTAGGACTTATCCCAAGGAGGCAGGAAGAGGGGCAGCTTACAGTGGGAGATGAGCCCTCTGCTGTGTTCCAGAGCTCCTTCTCTAGTCTCAGTTCATATCCTGAGCTATCATCCTCTCTTCTCCTTCATAATTGCTGGGTTTGCATGGAGGCAAACCACAGACACACATATGGAAAGTCAGTAGAAGTGGAGGCTAGAGCACACAGGCTCTGGAGTTCATCTGGGTTTAACCCCTGGTGTCGCTGAGTTCCACCTGTATGATTTAGGCCAAATCATTGGTTTTCTCTGTGTCTCCATTTCCTTAGCTCTAAAATCGGACTACTAATACAGGATCATTAGGTCAGTGCTATTGAGTTCCTATTTGAGCTGTTCCCTGATAAGATAAAGTGGTTGTATGGAGGGGTGCCTGTTCTCTTGTTACCAAATCTGAGAAAAATTAATTAAGTTGCCAGTTTTACTTTTGTCTGTGCTAGACACCAGTAGAAGAGATCCTGGGCTCAGGATCTTGGGCTCCAAGCTGGACTGCCCCACACAGACATGTGGACAAACAGTAGAAAGGCAGGATCAGTAACACATAATAGGATGGGAACACGTCCCGGATTTCATGAAATTATCACTTGTTCTTTTATGCAGTAGTACTTACAGAGTGCCATTCCATACCAGTCATTTTGCAGAAGTTCTGGACATACACAATGATCAGGCCTCGAGTCTGAAGGAACCTGTACTCTAACACAGAGTTTTGTTCCCAGTATAATTAGCGAACAATAGGGTCAGCATAAGGTCTCATCCTAAATTAAGGGTCTGTGTCAGGGGTGGCTTCCTGGAGGAGGTAACATTTAAGCCAGATCCCCAAAAGAGTGAAGGATGGGGCATGAAAGGTGTTTGAAGCAGAGAGAATAGTCTATGCAAAGGCCCAGAGGTGAGTGAGTGTAATGTGTGTACCGAGAAGTCTTGGCTGTGGAATTGGCTGAATTTGTTGCTGTTTTTTGCAGGGACATGGAGAAGGTGGAGCGGCAGGCAGTGCCCCAAGCCAACCACACAGAGTTGTGTCGAGACTGTGGCCGTGTTGGACCTGGACACTCAAGAGATTGTCCCCATTGTGGCCATGATGATTCCTTCGGCTTTGAGAGGCGGGAGCAGGAGGAAGAGCGGTACCGTTCTCAAAAGGACCCACTAGAGGGGAAGAGGGACAGGAGCAAGTCCAGGTCCCCGTATTCACCAGCAGAGGAGGATTCCTTATTTGTGGATTTACCCAGTGGTCCGAGAGGCCAGCAGGCACAGCCACAGCGGGCAGAGAAGAATGGTGTGCTCCCCATCTATACTCCAGGAGAGCAGAATGGGACTGGCGGGTACCAGCGGGCCTTTCCTCCAAGGGCCAACCCAGAGAAGCACAGTCAGAGGAAGAGCAGCCTGGCCCAGGCAGAGGCCTGGGCAAAGGCCCAAAAGGGAGATGGCAGAAGGTCAGTTGTAGACTTGGGATCTTGCTAATAATGGGCATAATAATGTAGAAACAATGGCTATCATTTCCTCAGCACTCACTGGGTAAATGCCTGCCTTAAACTCTTTACCTCCATTATCTACATAAATTCCTTTAACAGCCTGGCAAGGAGGAATGATATCTCTAATTTATAGACAGAGAAACTGGGGCATAGAGAAGTGAAGAAACCTACCCAGGGCACAGAGACTAGAGGCAAAGCCAGAGTTCACACCTGGGTCTGTGGGTCTCCCAAGCCCACACAAAGTTACACCAAGGTGTCTGTGCTCCTCTTTGATGATGCTTGAGCCATTCGTTCTTGAGATAGTAATGGATCTTCTCTTTTGCTTCTTTCTCTCTGCACCTGAGAAATATTTGTAGAAATGAAAGTAAATACAGATCCATGATTTCATTCTAGGCACATGGAGAAGTGCTCAGACCCTGTTGACATTAGGTTTTATCAAGCCCATTCCTTCAAGAAGTGATCTTTAATTGTTTAGAAGAGGTGCATCTCTTGCTATTTGCAAATCACTATCTACATTATATTATAATTTTAAATTAATTAGGACACATTTATGAACATGAAAAATCCAGGATCACCCAGCTTCTCTGCTGTCCCCAGTAACCACTATACTTTGTCTTCATTATGAAGACATGACAAATTCCCTCACTGTCTTCAGCCTTCTGAAAACAAACCACTGAAAGGAGAGGAGATAGTAAAGCTAATGTGCATTTAGAAAGCCCTCCAGGGTCTGGAGAGGCAGTGGTAGATGTACCAGAGCTCAGTGTGCCACAGGCCTGATGACATGTTCTAAAATGGTTGATGAGACCCAGACTGTCTGCCTGTAGCTCTTCAGACTGTGGTACTCCTCAGGGAACAGTTTGGGCATGTTTTCAGATGTGTGGAGCTGTATGCATGGATTGCTGTGACCCTCCCTTAATCTGGTCTAGCTGGGCTGTTGTGAGGACAGACATAGAGAAATCACAATGGAATCCCTTTAAGTGATTGAGAGACATAGCTGAACAACAGACCAGGAAAGGCCTTTTATTTGGTAAATAAGATACCTTCCCACTCCCACCTGGGAATGACCAGGTGTCAATTCTTCTTCTTCTTTTTTTTTTCCTCCCCCTTCAACTTTGTGTCTTATTGAAAATAGAAAGCTACTGCCCCAGGCAGGGGAGTGAAGCTGCTCTCCTTGGTGCTGGGCTAGGTGACCCCTACCCAGGCAGTGAGTGTAAGATGACCCACTGCTGAGAGAGGTTAGAAAATTGGCAGGGGTGGTATCATATGGGGGTCCTCATTTTCCAAGGTAAGGCATTTGAATTTTATTTGAAAAAACAATGGGAAATCACTGGAAGTCTTTAAGCAGGTAAGTGATGTGATCTGATTAATATTTTTCAAAGAAAATAAGAGTCTAGGAGGAGGCTATTGCAATAGTCCAGGTTGGTAATGATGGAAATTGAAATAAACAGATTTGAGGTATTTTTGAAGATGGAAATCATGAAGTTTGTCAATGCATTGGATGTGCAGGTTGAAGGGAAAAGAGGAATGAGGATGATCCCTAGATTTTGACTTGAGTAACTAAGTGGTTGCTGAAATGAGAAAGGCTAAGCAAAGAATAGGTTTGGAGGAAATCAGGATTTCCATTTTGGATATGTCAGTGGGGAGGGCTGCAGGTGGAACTGGACTTGGTGTTCAGGTTTATAGGTAGATGTGGTGCCTTGAGCCAGGTGTATGCACAGGCCAGGGAAGTGAGCTTGATGGGGAGTGCTGTATATGTGGCATGTCCAGGAGAAAATGACCAGTAGGTTATAAGGAATGTAAATATAGTCAGTAGAGAGATTTGTGGTCATTGCTCTGGAGGTGATAACTGATGGCTCTGGCAGTAGTTACTTACCCAAGGTAGAATGCTTAGAGCCATGATTCTTAATCCTGGCCTTGCAGTTTGATCATGAGCTTTAATTGGTCTGGGGTAAAGTCAAGGCATTGTATGTTTTAAGAGCTCTCCTGGTGATCCCACCAGTATATGGCCACAGTTAAGAAACTGTTGCTTGACTAAACAAGCCTAACCTGAGAGGTTCAACACTGATGGAGGCCTCATTTCCATGCCCAGAAATCTGCTTTCATTGGCCTGGGTTACAGCCTCGGCATCAGGATTTTTAAAAAGCACATGCTTTCCTATCCTTCCTCCCTCGATAATTCTCACATGCAGACAGGGATGAGAATTCCTAGCTCAGAGTGAGCTATAGCAGAGAGCCAAAGACAGAACCCTGGGAATCCCCAGGCCAACGGCTAGGCAAAAACAGTCTCCTTAAAGGGAACTGAGAGCTGGGTGTGGTGGCGCACATATGTAATCCCAGCTACTTGGGAGACTGAGGCAAGAGGATTGTGAATTCAAAGCCAGCCTCAACAAAAGTGAGAAATTAAGTAACTCGGCAAGAACCTGTCTCTAAATATACAAAAAAAGGCTGGGAATGTGGCTCAGGTGTATGCACAGGCCAGAGAAGTGAGTTTGATGGGGAGTGTTCAAATGCTCCTGAGTTCAATCCCTGGTTACCCTCCCCCCCAAGAAAAAAGAATGAAGCAGGAGATGAAGGAGGATAACTGGAGTGTTCTGTGGAGACAGTGTCCATAGGAAGGAGTTTGGACAGCAGTGCAAGGTGCTGTGAATGAGGACTTCTCCCTAGCTGTGGTACCTTCCAAGGTGGGTGCCCCTAAAGAAAAGTCTGGAACTTCAGGGTCTCTATTGGTCTTTTGCTCATGACTACAGGTCTTTTTTTCTATGAGTTTCTGGGTATCTTTAAATGGACAGAGCTGTATTGCTGTCCTTAATAGAGAATTTCAAAGGTAGGTCAGGAAACAAAGTCATAGGAGGGGAAGAAGCCGATGAGATGGCACTGAGAACTCTTTTGTGGTGAAAGGACTTTCAAAAAAGGAGTGACTGGCAATTTAAAGTTGTTAATTGTGAAATGTCACAGCATAACTATTTCTGGCAATTCACAAGCTCTGCTACAAATGACCTGTATTAGGGAACAGGGGTAAGCATCAGGGAGCTGAAAGGTAAGTCAACAAGGAGAGGAGAGGTGGCTAGGAAGGTCACTGGACTTTCTTAGAATGTGAGGTTGGCATTTGAGCCATTCTTATCTAAGGAGCAGGGGACATTAGGTCTGTGGAGAACATTGTTCATAGGCTTTGGAGATTGTTGACACACAAAGGAATTTCAGTCTAGCAGTGGAAGCAGATCTCAGTGGGCTTAAAAGAGAATAAGAGTAATCGAAGACGGAGTACAGGGAACAAAGTGCTGTCAATCTCTGAGTGAGTCTGCTTAGATCACTGATATTTCAGTTGTTTCTTGAAAGGTCTGTATCTTGCATTCCCAGATTTTTTTTTAAAGATATATTTGTAATTTCTAACAGTATGTGATAAGTTGATCTGGCTGCTTAATAAGGAACCTCCACCATTTTCCACTGGAAAATATAGAAGATGGATATCTCTGCTTTGTGTGTAATTAAGACTGTGCTAATCTCATTATCATTAGACTGAGCACGTTAAGGTATTTGGATTGCATTGTGATCCTGTATTCATGACTTTAGACCACACAGGGAATTATTTCTAACTGTTCTTTTGGTACTTGGAGGTATATATTATATTTCACATCATTAAACTGCTTTACAATATGGTTCATAGGAATCAGACTGTCATAGCTTAGTGTATTAGTACACTCTAAGAGCTTGTTTTAAAATTCTAGCCTTATACTCCCTCCCCCACTGCATAGTTTAAAGTAAAGCATACTTGTAAAATAAAAAGGCTGAGATGGAGATTGAGAAGGGGACTCAAACACTGCTATAAGGAACAGTAGGAAGTTTTGCATGATTGATGTGGAAGTTGAATTTGATGTGGAAGGAATTTCTGCTACATAAATAATTGGTCACAAAAAATGGTTTCACACTTTGAAATATTTCCCACACATTTGTAGTGGGTTTATTGGAATATCCTGCTTAGTGCCTTTTGGGATGAGGAGACCCCATAGCTACAGATCAAGGTATGAGGACAAAAGACTTTGAATCCCATTTGGGAGGGGAGTAAGACTGGGGTGGGGGCCAGCAAATAGATCTGCTGTCAGGGCAGAGCTGCTTTGGGAGCTCCCACCTGTTCTTAGGGGTCTTTACCTCATCTTCTGGCTATCTCCCATGTCTTTTACTCTGGTAAAGTCAGAGCTTACCATTGTACTTATCATCTTGGGGTCACCCTCAAGTGGTAGACAGTATGTAAATGGAGGGTACAGGCTGTAGGATGAGCTCAGGGCCTGGGGCGCTGCCCAGTAGGGGCCTCTGATTATCCAGGCACAGCAGACAGGCTCCCAGAGTGGGCTGCTGAGCAGATCACATGCAAGAGGACAGGCCTGGTCTGGGGGACTGCCTGGTGTAGGGGCTAAGACCTTCCAGATGCTATAGGAAGGCACAGAGAGTGGGCTGCAGAACCAGACAGAAGGGTAGAGGGTGGGAGCACAGCTGGGACATGCTTTGTGTGCTTAACATTTTCTTTAGGCAGAATGAACAATGGCTGCTAAAGTCCTGCTCTTCCCAGGGGAAGCCCTCAGTGTGGTTTTTGCCCCCACCACCACCTCCATCAGATGCAGGCAGATGCTGCCTACCTCAGAGAAAACATTCCTATCTAAATTTGAGAAATCAAAAGCTAACCCTGCCACCTAGTGGCAAGCAAACGCACTTGGTGCACAGGTCAGGTCTGGGTTGAAGAGATCTTAAAATATTCTTCTGCAACCTGCAAAGTAACCATTAAAGGGGATTAAAAAGAAAAACAACTCTATTTGAATGATACGTATTTCTAATCCTCACAACAATCTATTAAGTGGTTCTTATTATCCCCTTTTTATACTAAGGAAAATGAGATTCAGAGGACAGAAATGACATTGCCTGAGTTCAGGTAACTAGAAATGATTAAATGAACTGAGGTTAAGACAATTAGAAGAGCACTTCTCAAACTTCAGGGAGAGTCAGAATTACCTGGAGGGGGAGCTGTTAAACGAGGTGACCAGCCTCTGACCCAGAGCTTCTGATTTGTAGGTCTGTGGTGGGACTGATAATCTGCACTTTAAAATTTTATTTTTAATTAAAAAGTCTTAATTATATATAATATATATTTGTGGGATACATGTAATATTTTATATATGTATATTGTAGAATGGTTAAATTAAGTGAATTAATGTTACCTCTTCTATTAGTTTTTAGTGGTGAGAATACTTTAAGCTTTGAGCAATTTTGAAATGTGCTATAGTCACCACATTTTTCCACAGAACTCTAATTTTTGTTCTTCCTGTCTAACTGAAATTTTGTACCCTTTGACCAACATTTCCCCCTCACTATCCCCCTATTTCCAATCTCTAGAAACCACAGTTCTACTCTTTGCTTCTTTGAGTTCCACATTTTAATATTTCACATGTAAGTGAGATCATACAGAATCTATCATTCTTTTCCTGATTTATTTCACTAACATACATTTTTAACAAGTACCCAGATGGTGCTGATGCTGCTGGTCTGTGGACCACACTTTGAGTAGCATTGGCATAGAACTGTGTCTGGCAAATGGTGGTTCTATACCAAAGTCTGTTAGATAAAATTGATAAAAACAGGATCAGGGGCTGGGGATGTGGCTCAAGCGGTAGCACGCTCTCCTGGCAATCGTGGGGCCCGGGTTCGATCCTCAGCACCACATACAAAAACAAAGATGTTGTGTCCGCCGAAACTAAAAAATAAATATTAAAAAAATTCTCTCTCTCAAAAAAACAAACAAACAAAAAAACAGGATCAAGTATTGAACTCAGGCATGATTCCAAACCTGATCTCTTTTTACAATCATACTTACAGGTTAGACTTTAAGGCTTAATAAAGCTCCATAATTTGTCCCTTACTGAATTTTTCATCCTTCTTAGAAATTAGGATGACCAAGTTCTTAGTGGTTTTCAAAGTCATATCCAGATCTTGAAGTGCTTATTGAAGGACTAGTTATGTGTGTCAGGAGTTTCCCCAGACTGTGGAATATACCACAGAGTGTGAGACACAGTTCTTTTCTTTCAAGAACTTTCATCTTGGCTGGGGAAGACACTTCTTGCAAGTATGAAAAGGTCACATCCACAAAGGACCTTGGAAACGGTATAGACAGTGTGATAACGAAGTTAAACAAAGGAGGAAAGTTGAAGGATACAGCATTGTGAAGGCCCCCATAAGAAAGACATGGGCCACTGTCCTGGAGAATAAGTTTTGGGTAAATAGGGGGAGGAGAACCTATACAGATTGGGGAGGGAAGAGGAGTGTTATGAGAATAAAGAGGGGGGAAGGTGGTGCACACTGGTGGAAGATCTTGTCAGAGAATGCCATTTTCCTTTAGGTTCTCATTTACTCCTCAGAACAGCTGTTTGAGGCAGGTAATGCTGTCTCACACTATAGGTAGTGAGACTGAGACCTAGCAGTCAGAAAGACACCGAGAGTTGCATAGCCAGTGAATGGTAGAGCTTGGCTACTACCTGCTTTTTCCCTGTGAGAAGTTGATAGGGTGTGGACAGCAGTGGGCTGGGACCAGGGTGAAGCTCATTTTCAGGCTCCAGCAGGTGTGGGGCTGTGCCTGACAGAGAAAGTTTGAGCCCTAGGCATCTGGCTTGCCCCAGCTGAGTCCTAGCCCTGGTAGGAGGAGGAGTAAGAAAACACTAGGGCTGCAAGATGCATTTAGGCCAGGTGCAGGAATTTAGATTTGATTTCATAAATCTATGGGGAAGTTTGGATTATGGGAGTGATTGGATCAGAGCAAGTGACTGTTCAGGTTAGGAATGATTTAGGAAGGTCTTCCAGTAATCTGAAGAGATCATTAATCAGTATCTAGACTAGAATAGTAGGAAAAGGAAGGAACTATGGTAGCCATTTCCTTTAAGAGTCTCCAGAACTTGGTCCTAGGATCCCAGGCAGAGGCAAAATTGCAGGAACCCAGATGTACAAAAAGCCTTTTCTAGACATGAGCACACCCATGTGTGCTGCTGGCAAGAAAGACAGAAGGATCAGGCCATTCAATTACACTACACTGGAAGAGAGGAAAATGGGCAGATGGTAGGGAGCTGCCAGACAAAACTACTTTTGGAGTCTTCTACAAAAGTAGTTGGAGTCTGGAGTCCTGGGTGTCTGCTTTATCATTATTTTGGGTTTTTATAGGACTCCCCAACATGCCTGGTTTTGTGGATGTACTGAACTCTGTTCCCTTGCTTGGTGGCCTGACCTGTCCTTCCCTTTCTCCTCAGCCTTCCCTCAGACCAGACACTTCCTCGCCAGGGTCCTAGCCAACCCCTGTCCTTCCCAGAAAACTACCAGACTCTGCCCAAGAGTGCCCGACACCCCTCAGGGGGCTCTTCACCCCCTCCCCGGAACCTGCCAAGTGACTACAAATATGCACAAGATCGAGCCAGTCACCTAAAGATGTCCAGTGAGGAGCGCCGGGCACACCGGGATGGCACCGTGTGGCAGCTGTATGAGTGGCAGCAGCGCCAGCAGTTCCGGCATGGTAGCCCCACAGCACCCATCTGTGCTGGCTCCCTGGAGTTCTCCGACCAGGGCCGGAGCAGGAGCATGCTGGAAGTGCCCCGCTCCATCTCTGTGCCTCCATCTCCCTCTGATATCCCTCCCCCTGGACCTCCAAGGGTCTTCCCACCTCGGCGGCCACACACGCCAGCAGAGAGGGTTACTGTGAAGCCACCGGACCAGAGGAGGAGTGTGGACATCTCACTAGGGGCTTCTCCCAAGAAGGCACGGGGCCACACCATCAAGGTGAGGCTTGAAAACCTCTGTCATGTGCCTGGGGTCTGGCCTTTGGGTGTCAGGAACCTCACTTGGCTTGAGTACAGATTTGAGCTAGTGGAACTAATAATAACAGCTAACTCTTATGCAGTACTTTTGGAAGCAAGTGTAGTTCTAGAAGTTTTATTTTAATTCTTACCAAAACCCTTTGAAGTAGGTGCTGTGATGGGTCCATTCCACAGATGAGAACTCAGAGACATTGAAGAGAAAATAACTTGCACAGGTCACACAGTCTGCTGCTCAGCAGGCAGGAAAAGATGTCTGTGCTCAGTCAGTTCAGTTATTTATAGCCCAACATAACTTTTAACTCTCCAAGGGGCTTTCACAGTTTTCTGTGCTGTACCCTTTGAGGAAGATATGTATTCCTATTTTACAGACAGGAATCTGGAACTCAAAGAGGTGAAGTGGCATGTGGTAGGCTGACCTGGGAGCGAGTGCCCAAGGCCTTCTTTCCTTGCCTCACTGTGACTTTTTGTCTCCCCACCTGCAGAACTCTTCTCATGTGGACCGACGCTCCATGCCCTCGATGGGTTACATGACCCACACTGTCAGTGCTCCCAGTTTACATGGAAAATCGGTAAGCTGCCCCTCATCTCCTCCTCCAGGTGAATGATAGGATACAGCCTGTGAGAATTTATCTACTGGGGGTTTTCCTCCTCCCTGAGTCATGCAGTCTATCAGGCAGCTTTAACCCCTGTTTAGAGATGAAGAAACTCAGGCTCAAAGGAATCTGGTGACTTGCTTGGCATCATGCAGCTGGCCCTTCAAAGACGAACTTAAGGGGAAGTCCAAGGGAATGCTGGACTCGGCTTCTCTTTTGAATAGAATTTTGTCAAAAGCATATTCCAGCCACTTGCCTCTCTCTCAGTAGCTCCTCTCCTTTTTTTCCCTGGTCTTTACAATGATTAATTAACTCTTCCTTCAAAGTTTGAGTCTGGGGGCTGGGAGTGTAGCTTAGTGGTAGAATGGTTGCCAACGTGCAGAAAGCCCTGGGTTCAATCCCCAGCACCACAAAAAACAAAAGTTATTTTTTGTTTTTGTTTTTTTTAAAACCAACCTCAAGTCTGGGTGAGGTTGCACTGTTGGTTGCAGCTTTCCTGAGAAAACAACTTCCTGTAGCCCTTTGCTACCACTGCCTTTACTTGTCGAATGACAAAATTAATGCAATCATTACTTAGTGGTGTCGCATCAGTGCTATCCTGGCACCGGGGCGAAGAGTGTAATTAAAGTGGCATGCCCCTGCAGTGGCTAATTTCTTCCTGATGTGTCTACACACCTGCAGCTGGAGGAGCTCTCACTGCTTCTCACCCGGTTGCGGCGGCACCAGGCCAAGTTGGCCAGTGTGCGAGATTTCGCTGTTGGCCAGTTACTGCAGCGCTACCTGACCTTTCCCACCTGCCAGGTCAGCGCTGGTGGCTTCTCCCAGGGCCGGGGTGTGACATGCTGGCCCATGATCCCCTGTGCTGTGCTCTGGTCTGTCTTTTCTGTCTGGCTCTCTCCCTTATTCCTTGCCTGCCTGCTTCTGGGTGCCACCGCCAGATGCTGCACCAGTGGTGGAGCCTGCCCTCTGGCATTGGGGAGGGGTCTGCATGTGGTGTGAGGAACCTGAAGCTTGGCTTCGCAAGCCATACATAGTGACTGTGAAGCTGGTGTGTGGTTGTGTCTGAAGGGCTATGCCAGCTGTCAGCCTTGTTGCCACCTTGGGCACTCCTTGGGATGCTGAAAGACACATGTGGGTCAGCCTGGAGGGAGAATACAGGGGCCTTCTCTTTTCTGGACAGTGCCCTGCTGACTTGCAAAGCATCTCACATTTCATCCTGTTGAGCTTTGCAGTACCATGGGAGAGCTTAGGTGGGATGAAATTTTTATCACACACACACAAAGCAAATAGATCCAGAAGGGGAGGGGACTTATCCAGGATTCCTTGTAAAACCTATCTGTCGCAGAGTTCTAAACAGTGTCCAGGGCATTGGGCTTTGCAGTCAGTCTCTTTGAGGACTGGCCAGAGAGTTGCTCTCCCAAGCATCTTGAGCAGCTCGAAGAAACAGATTCCTCCCCTGAGTTGTCCTCAAGTAGGGATAGGTTCAGCCTCTTGAGGTTGGTCCCTCCAGGCTGCACAGAGGTAGATGGGATAGATGAGGGTGATGGAACTGTCACCTTCTTTCCCTGTCCTGTTTTAGCAAGAACTAAGAGACTCAGGAATATATTTAGAAAAATGAATATAAGAGCTTTGTGGTGGTACATTCCTAAAATAACCCCAACTGCTTGAGAGGCTAAGGTAGGAGGATGGCAAGTTCAAGGACAGACTGGGCAACTTAATGAGACCCTGTCCAAAATAAAATTTTAAAGAAGGTCTGGGGACATAGCTCAGTGGTACAGCACTTGCCTAGCATACATAAGGCTCTGGACTCAATCCCTAGTACTGAAGGAAAAAAAAAAAAGGAAAAGAAAATGAAAAACGATTGTAAAGGGACATATACAAAAACCATAAATTGTGGTTTGGGTGATTTTTAATAACATTCTCCAGCTCTGTCTTTTCTACTCCTGTGGAAAGTAGTAGGGACTAGGCTGATTGGGGAAGTAGGAATGGAAAAGGGGACAATGTAAAAACATAAATAAGACCTTGCAAGCCACAAGCTTCCTAGACAGTGGTCCTTCAGTTCTTCCCATGTTTAAAAGCACCACCTGAACTTCTAATGTGATTATTTCATGTCAGAGCTGTGCATGATCCCACCTTCCACAGCCCTGGCTTGTTTAACTGGGAGACCCTCTCTTAGTTTCTAAAAATGTGGCACCTGGACCATTCTTAAGCTCTCCCAGCCTCTTGGTCTCACTGTTGGTTTCACAAGAGAGCATGAGTTCTAAGGAATCAAAGAAGCTTTTGCTTATTTTCACTGTTTCTGGTAATTACACCAAAGAGCTCAACAGATAATAGGAGATGCCACAAGCAGATAGGTCTGATCCTGGGACTTCTTCCCCTAGCTCTTGACATGGCCACATTGGCTTCATGCTGAGTAAAAAGAGCAAGACTTCAGGAAACTTCCACTGGCTGCCAATGCTTGTTGTTCCGGAAACCACCATCATATTGGGACCTCCTGAATTACCCAAGTCATCTTCCTGACTCTTCTAGGAATTCATCCATGCCAATCAGGGTCATCTTACTTCATGCATGTGAAATGGCCCAGTCCAAAGGTTTGATGACAAGAATTGATGGCTAGGGTTGGAACGCAGTGGTAGAGTGCTTTCCTAGCACACGTGAGGCACTGGGTTCATTCCTCAGCACCACATAAAAATAAATAAATTAAATAAAGGTATCGTGTCCATCTACAGCTAAAAAAAAAAAAAGAATCGAAACTGATGTAACCCTAGCTCAGGTATAGCATGTGCTCTTCCAGGTAGACTCCCCCTCATTCGGCCCAGCATCTGCTTCAACTGCTCTGCTGTCCTAGCCCTCTGGTAGGAGCCTTTCTACCAGAATGTTATGCTGCGGGGTGGGATGGGGGGGCAAGCTGGCTTTGCCCACAGTGACCTGCAGTCTCCACTGTGCCAAAAGAGCTCTGTGAGCTATAGCAAGACATTTGTGCTTCCTCCGTGGCCCTGGATGTGTTGGTCTGCCGTGGCCTCATTTCCAAAGCTGTGCAATGTAAATGATTCATTTGTGAAGCCCCTAGTTATGAAAAGTCTTGGTGTTCATACTGTTTGGTTTTCTTTTTTCCCTCCCTGTGTTTCCTGTGAAGGCTGATGATACCTACCTCCAGCTGAAGAAAGACTTGGAGTACTTGGATCTAAAGGTAAGTGGTATCAGGGATCCTGCCTTCCTCTGACACTCACCTTTCTGACAGTGTCACTTCCTTGGAGCTGAGCGCAAAGCCAAAGGCCATGTAGTCTTATCAAATCTGGATCCCAAATGAAGAAATCTCTTATATGAATCAGAAAAATTTCATTTCTTATAGCGTCAAACTCTGGCTCTCCACAGGTTTTTTTTTTTTTTTTTTTTTTGAATTCTGCTATAAGGGATCTGGCTTACATAATGAAGGCCCAAGATCTTGATCTTTTCTCCCCTTGGTCAGAACCAAAGTTCCCCCTAAAAATAACCATTCACTTTTTTAGAGCCTCTGGTAGGGGCAGGGGTTTGTGTTTGGTTCCTGGGGTGCCACTGATATGTATTTTAGCCACAAGTGGCTTGGTGCATTATTTGGTTTTGTTGCTGGGGGAGCAAGTTGCACATGGAATTATGTGGTTTCAGGGCTTACCAATAACCTCCCTCCTTCATTTAGAGATGAATGCTAGACCCCCCCGTAGGTGGTAAAGCTCCAGGCATTGATTCAGCCTGCACAGCACAGAGAACTGGAGAAGGCTCCTGTGGAAGGGAGAGGCATTCTGCCTGGAAGAGAGCTGCTTTTGTTCCTCCCCACAGCTCTCTGAAAGCCCCCACTGTGAACAGCACTCCTTAGGCCTGAGCCATGAAAATACTGAAGGAATGTGACCTTTAATCAACCAAGGGTGGGTGAGGAGCTTGTGAGACACCCAGGCAACTGCCATGGGGCTGTGCCTCCCATGGTCCCCAAGCATACCTGGCTTGAGATGTTTTAACATGAGGGTCTCCATCCAGCCTTGCAGAGCAGGGGCATGAATGGTAGGCCCCAAGGCAGCAAATGGGGGCAGGGTCTCATGCTTAAGTACCATTAGGGCCTTTCTGATCTCAAATTTTTAAGCCGTCTGGGAAAAGAAAATAATCTCCAAATAACAGACTTTTGTACAATGACTGTATAAAGATCTGTTTGGATCCCTTCTCAGCTGAAATTGCGCAAAGTACCGTGGACTTGTAGGAAGACCTTTTGGAGAAGGTGGCAGATGTGTGGAACATTAAAGAGCCAGGGGTTGGAGTTGGTTGAGATTAAAGGAAAGGGAGCAGCAGGAGCCAAGGAAACCCCAAGTATGGTGAAGTGGCAAGGGCCATGAAGTGGAGGCCGAGGCAGGGTCCTGGTTTTATCCTGGTCCTTAAGAAGGAAGGTTAGCACAAAGTCACACCTGGTTGAGGTCATGAGGAAAAGTAGGAGATTACTCTCCAGATCACAACATCTTCCTTCCTTCCTTCCTTCCTTCCTTCCTTCCTTCCTTCCTTCCTTCCTTCCTTCCTTCCTTCCTTCCCGCTCTCTCTCCCTCCCTCCCTCTCTCCCTTCTTTCCTTTCTTTTTCTTTTTGCTGTGATAGGGATTGAACCACAGGGTCTTAAGCATACTTGGTAAGCTTTCTACCACTGAGCTACACAACCAGCCCCCAAGATCAGGACATCTTCTCAGCTTACATGACAATCAGATCACACAGAGCTTAAGTGACTTAAATAAGGTAGTACCTCAGGATTCAGAGTGCTCAAATGTGACTGTGTGGTCTGAATGTGGCAGACCAGCTCATCATCCTGCATTGTTAGGACAGGCAAGGTCCTTCTCATGAGGCCCATGGAGAGAGGTCCACCAGCCCCCATATCCCTCTGCTCTGTGCAGTACCATATCCCCATTCCTTGGTCTCTTTGACAACCAGTTATAGCCACCTACCTGCTAGGTTCTTCTTGCCCCTACCCTGTGACCAAGGAGTCAGTCCAGAAGTACCTATGGAGTCTCTACAATGGACTGAGCCTATGGGAGAGGCTTGGCTCAGCAGCTGCACAGGCATACACAAAACTGTGCTTGGTGCACAGTGCAACTTCAAACAGTGCCTGAGCAACGGCTGTAGGAATTACCTGTCTCCTAATTCCTGTTTGAATGTAATAGCAGACACTCAGAGGTGGTCCTGGAGTGAAGCTGCACCTCGAGTTTGTTTTATTCAGTTTCATAAAATTTGAGCTATGAGAGATTAGAGAAGGAGAAATTGAGGCGTGGGATAACACAGCAGAACTAGGAGTCCCTGTATGTCCTGACTCCAAAAGAAGCTTAATAACAGTAGAGGGTGTTTTGTGTGCCAGTTACTGTGTTTGACTTCAACTGAATTATTTTTAAACCTCACAGTAGCCCTGTACAAGAGGTAGTGGTATCATCTTTTAAATGATCTGGGTAACTTAGCAAGATCCTTTCTCCAGGAAAAAAAAAAAAATCAAAAGGGTTAGAGATTTGGTTTAGTAATAGAGTGCCCTGGGTTCTATCCCCAGTATCACAAAACAACAACAAAAAAGGGAACATACCAATTCCTATATCCAGAAGCAATGTTCCAGGGGCTCTTAGAAGACACTCTATACTACTGGGTGCTTAGAGAGTGTTTACTTCTCAGCATTTTACTTGGTTGTGCCAGGGTGAACAGACTCCACATTGATCAGACAGACAGCTGTCCCTGCCTGGCCCAGGGTTTGGGGACTTAGTGTCCACTTATGTCATTTAATCCTCTCAGCAACCTTGAGCCATAGAAACTATTATCTCTGTCTTACTAACCAGGAACCCAAGTCTCAGAGAAGTTAAGTAATTTCTGCAAAGCTACATGGCTGGAAATGACTTCACCCCTGCATTCTTTTTTTCATGTACAATATACTTTGCCACCCCAGAGTTGTCTTCTTTGACTTGTATTTCTGGCATGTAAGTTCTGCTATTCAGAACCTTCTACCCGAGCTGGCTTAAAAGAGTGGGTGGTGTGGGGGGCCCATTGTTATTGACAGCTTGAATTGGTTTATTTTCAATTTATTTTTAGTTTGTTATTTATTTATTTGAGGGGTCTCAATATGTTGCCCAGGCTGGTCTATAACTTCTGGACTTAAGTGATCTTCTTGCCTCAGCCTCCAGGGTACCTGGAACTATAGGTGTACTCTACTGCACAGGCTTTGAGTTGTTTTGATGTGTCTGTGAAGGACAACCAGGAAGGTGAGGTGGAGGAGGGAGTCTGTGGCTGCTCAGGAGGTGCCTTTGCAGATTCAGAAGGTTGTGATCAACTTCAGAGGGGCCTATGTCTTTGGTGAGGAACATGCCACCAATGACTTCATGTCTTTTGGACTCTGGACTCTTTCTGTTTGAGTCTAAAATCAGTGCTTCTGTGTTCAGGGTCTGGTTCCAAAGTCAGCTTCTGGGGCAGAGTTTTTTAAGTTATTATCTGGGACATCATCTACTTCCAGAACACCTGGAAGCTTGATTTTAAAATGCAGATCTAAGCCTGCTGTAGTAGAGTGCTCTTATCACAGCTGCTGGGGAGGCTGAGGCAGTAAAATTGCTTGAACCCAGGAGTTTGAGGCCAGCCTGGACAAGATAGTGAAACCTCATCTCTTTAAAATAAAAAAAGAAAGAAAAAAAATTAAAAAAAAAAAAAGAAAGAAAGACATGAGCTCACAGATTCTAGAAGACACAGATCGGGTGCAGCATGTAAGAAAGAAAAAGAAAAGATAAAAGCAAAAAAAAATAAAAATAAAAATAAATAAAATAAAAAAAGAAAGAAAAAGAAAAAAACCCAAAAACAGATCTGAAGGGAAGGGCTTTATTGATTTAGAGCCTCTGGTACCAGAATTAAGTAATCAAGTTCTGATGTATTCTTGTGCTCACTGAAGTTTGAGTTTTGTTGTTCTAGAGCAGAGATTATTAATCCTGGCCATGAACTGAAACTACCAGGAAGGTGTTTTATTATTGTTGTTTTGTTCGGGTACCAGAGATTAAACCCAGGGGCACTTAACCACTGAGCCACATCCCTAGCCCTTTTAAAAAATTTTATTTAGAGCCAGGGTCTCACTAAGTTGCTTAGGGCCTTGCTGCATTGCTGAGGCTGGATTTGAACTAGTGATCCTTCCACTTCAGCCTCCTTAGCCGCTGGGATTCACAGGCATGTGCCACCACATCCAGTTGCCAGGGAGCATTAAATGAATATAGATGTTTGAGTTCTACTCCTTAGAAACTGTGATTTAATACTCAGGTATTACTCTTTGAAAAAAGCAAAAAGAATAAAAGAAAATTCCTTAGAGAGTTTTTTATATGCAGCTAGGGTTGAGAGATCTTCAGACCAGCAGCAATACCCAGGAATTTGTTAGGAATGCAAAAATCTTAGGTCCCATCCTAGACCTGCTCAGTGAGAACCTCCAGGGTGGGTCCCAGCAAATGTGTTTGTTAACAAGCCCTCTAGGTGATTCTGAGGCATTGTAAAGGTTAAGAATTATTGATTTGTAGCGTTAGTTCTCAGTCTTGACTGCACATTAGAATCACCAAGGAGGGCTGTTGTCATTTATCCTAACTGGAGGCCTAATGCTGGGTTCACAAAATCTGCCTATTCCAATAACTTAAGAAAACGGCAAAGAAAGCATGCAAAAACACACAGAAGTACCTTTTCAAAATCCATGACGGCTCTCTGACCTTAAGGGTTGGAGGAAAGAGCGAGCCACTAGAATTCTTTATTCTTATTTAGGGGACACACAAGGGGAAGTTCCATGGAACATTCTATCCCAAAAATGGCAAAGGGGTAGGATTACAAAGGAACAGGTGAGTGTGACTCAACCCCACCCGGTGACGCCTACTCCTGGAGCCACACCTCATTACCCGAGTGGAGGTAAAGCCCAAGTTATTGCTGGGCACAATAATTGTTCAGTATCTCTTGCTCAGGACTAAAGGGCATGTATTTCCAGAGCAGCTCCTGACAGAGGGCTTTGAAGAATCCCTATGCTGGACTGAGGGTGTACCTCAGGGATAGAGTATTTGCCTCATACACATGAGGTCCTGGATTCAATTCCCAGCATTGGAGGGGAAAAAAAAAAAACACAAAAAACCTAGTGCTCACTCAGGTTCCGTTCCAGACCAATTACCTCAGGATCTCCTGAGGTAGGACTCAGAGATCAGTATTTTTAAAAGTTCCCCAGGTGATTCCAGTCTTCAACCAAGGTTAAAAAATCCACTGTCCTAGAGGAAGAGAACAATGTTTCCTAAAAGGAGCTATAAGTATTTGGAACCTTTGGTGTAAGACATCATCATTTAGGTGCATCCCAAGGGTGGAGATGAAAAGTCCAAAGGGACTTAAGTTGGAAAACGTTGGGCATCAGTGAGGTTAATGCATTGGCACAACTCTAAACACAGATTTGATATCTTAGAGAACATGCTGAGGGAGGCAAGGAAGAAACAAAATTCTCCTTTGTCTTCTGTGGCAGAACCAGGAAGGATATGGGCTCTGAAGCAGTCCTGTCACATAAACAGCCTGTACAAGATCCCTTTGGCCAGGGCTTTAGTGTGCTCCATTTCACAGAGGAGTCTAGAAAGATCCCATAGCTGGGAATAAGCATCACCAGGATTCATTTTAATTGCGCTACGCATGTCCTCCTTAAGGTTCCCCTTCTCCAGTTCCCCAGGTTCTGGCTGCTTCAAGTGTTGTCTGATGTCTTACCTGTTACGTTTTGTTGTATTTGCTTTTTTGTTTGGAACAGATTAAAAATAATGAACCTTTGATCAACGTGCTTTACAAAGTGCTGAAGAAGTCAGCACGGGGCTGTCGGCCCAGGAGAAGCGTAAGATGATCTGATCCGTGTCTCCGAGTGGGGCCATTCCATTGCTTCTAGCTCAGTGCCGGCTCCATCACTCGCTTAACCAGTTGCTCTCCTGATCGCCCCAGGCTTCCTGCAAGTCATTTCGGTTTATTTTCTTTAAATGAAGTTCTCTGCAGCATTGTGGCTGATGCACCAGGCTGAGCTGCTCATCTGTGGTGCTCTGTGACTCCCATCTTTTGTGCTGCCAGAGGGTGGGGAGCTTGCCTGGCTTGCCTCCAGCTTGTGTTGTGTTTCCATTCTCACTTGTCTGCCTCCATGGTGAGGGCTCATCTAGATAGGGTTGAGCATGAGTTTCTTGGGAGGGAACAGCAGTTACTGGTCCCTTGGTATCCTCAAGAGTATGGGTATCCTCAAGAGTCCACCTTGGCCTTGGCCTCTTCTTGGGGGCAGGGTATAGATATTTGGATAACAATCTGGGGCTGGACTAGAGTAAAACCAGCCACCCCATACCCGCTTTGACTGACACAGAATAACCACAGACTACAACATGGCCAGCCTTCCAAGGGAGGCTGCAGGTTGGGGAGCAGGTGGTGTGTCCTGCCATTCTGGGCCCTGAGAAGGTGTGTTGGGATGTGGTGGAAGAGAGGTAAGATGCCTGGTGGGGGGCTTTGATTCCCCTCTTGTGCAAAGATTCTTTCAAATGGATGAGCACCATGAATGTTCACTTTTTCTGGTGACAGATACTGGGGTTTTGCATTGTTGATGTCTAAATGGATTTAAACACTGCCATCACAAAGCATAATTTTAATTTTAAAAGGAAACTTAGCTTTAATATATTACATATGGATATAATATTTCTTAGTAGCCTCCACTCTCTGAAATGGAACTAATTTCAGACATTTAAAGGGCCTCTGAGCTGTGTGAACAGGCATCAGGTAGCCCGTGCTCTGCAGCCTGTGGCCTTTACTCCATAGTAACAACCTACCTTATTTTGAAAAGTTCATGAACTCAATAAGTGAACATTTTCTGAATATTCTTAGTGTACTGGGCCCTGGCTGTGCTTTGGGGATTCAGAGAAAATCATCCCAGTCTCCACAGTCACCCCTACTTAGGTTACCACACAGTGGGGAGAGTAGATGAGAAAGCAGAGCATTGTAATCTGATGTGCTGTGTATCACAGTCATGACGGACACAAGCGGGGTCAGGGGTGGGGTGAGACACCCTAAAGGGCACCAAGTCTAGTCAGAAGGGAGGGAAGAGATGTAAGTACTTTGCCTCTGTTGAGCTTTTAAGTTCTTTGAATCCCTAACTCACAGTATCTTATAAGTGGCACATTAAAAAAGATGGAAATATATTTCTTAGAAAAGAGGGAGTGCTGATATCCCGAGAGAGAGAGAGAGAGAGAGAGAGAGAGAGAGAGAGAGAGAGAGAAAAGGTTGAATGTATATTCAGTATTCTAGGAAGGCATTGAAGGGCATGCTTTTAGAAAGCTTCCTATCAAAAAGTTTAATTTAGGAGATTCAGCTTTTTCAAAATGCCTTTTTTGTGTGTTTGTAGAATATCTCATTTCTTTCCTGATAGTGCTAGATAAATGAGGTATTGCTCAATTAGATTCTCTGCCTTGTTATTTAAGTACCAAAAAGATATCCTTGGTAAAAATCTTCAGTGAAATATGGGAAAGAATTTTGCTGGAGGGAAAAATCCCCAAAGCATATCTCAATTTGAAAGTGATTTCTACCTAGGAAATGAGTGAGAGTCAGCCCCCTTGGAGAATAGACAAGTTCACTGTCCTCCACTTTGATGAAAGGGTTCTGAAGACCTCACCCACTTTCATCTGCATTTTCTCCTGGGTTCCCTGAGTTCAAAGCCCAAGTCCTGCCTAGGACATCCAGCAGTTTGTGGTTCACCAGGATTAATTCCATGCCCTTTCTTCTCGCCCATCTTAGGAGACACATGCTGTTTGTGGATTATTGTAGGTATCCATGTGTTCTATGACTATGTATGCGTATATATGCACATAATCTGCCAGTTTGGGGACTCAAATTTGGCTGAGTTCTTCTCTTTCCAGGAACTTACACTGACCTACATGTTTCCCTTTGATCTACGTGGAACTGGTTAAGCATTGTTTAGTGCCTTCCATTGTGACAGGCCTTATGTTCAAGACTATATTGCAAAAAATAAGACTGGTCTTGGCCCAGAACTGTGTGACCAAAGGGATCATGAGAGAGGGGCGGGGAGCAGTTCTGCAGTCCAGAATCAATTCTCAGCTCAAGGCAAGAAGTCTTTTGACCTTGGCCTTAACTTTTAGGATTTATTGGTCATTCTCAGTAGTAGCATAGGACCCTTGGGCACACTTGAGCTCTAAGGAGAAGGATAGCTCATATATAGCTCTCAATTCACACTCACTTGCTGGATCTCCCAAGTGGAGTGGGGAGAAAGCAAAGGCCCTCTCTCCAGCACCTGTCTGTGCATTCATGCTGGGACCCTCTGCACGGTGCATATACCACCTGTCTATGGTTAGTCCTGCCCTTCATTTCTCCTAGTCAGAACTGTAAAACATGTCAGAGGGATCATCTCCCGTACATGAGGTTCATTAGGCCTTGCTATTCCTGACCTTGTCTTGGCCATGAATGCATCTGTGAAAAAGCCACTCCCTGCACCCCTCTACAACTTTTGACAAGAAAGAAAATGGGAGGAAATGGAAACATGGGATATAGAGTTGGATTCAGCTTCTTGGAATTCAGAAATGGGCAACATGCTGCACTCTTCAGGTTGAGTGAAGGACGGAAAATGTCAAACCTCTTTTACCCTTACATTTGGGTGGCTTTGTTTTCCTTTCTTGAGAAGATGAGGAAGGTTGTAACTTTTCTATGGACACTTCTGAAAAGAGACCTAATTGAGAAAATATATGGAGTATTTAAGAGTTTCATCTCCTGAGCACCTGAGTCTAACTGCGGGTGTCAAAGCCTCTCCAAGGCTCAGGGCTGAAGACAGCATATAAAAGCTTTTCATTTTCTACAGACACTTCTGGAAAGAGAGGAAGGTTGTAACTTTACAAGTACAACCTAGCCTCAGTTATTCAGGGATCAACTATCCAGGTTCCTTCTTCTTTGGGCAGGTCTTTTTCTCAATTAGTTTAGGGTGTGCTGGCCTTACTCACAAGGAAGGAGGCTGCTCAGACTTCCTTAAACCGAGGCTTGACAATGCTCAGGGAATTTGTTCCTCCTTACCTGTTGACCCCACTACTGTAGGCTGGGGGGTGATGGACTTCTATAACTTGTGTCTGTTTCAGTAACAAACCTCAATTTTATCAGTGGCATACCTTCCAAGATTCATACTGACTTATCACACTCCTTTTGGGCAAGTATATGCTTTTAAAATTGATGATTGTGTAACTTGAACATCTACATTTTCTTTAGTTTGAGAAATTTACAAGGATCACAAAAAGTTTTTAGTTTTTCCCTAAAATGAAATAGACATAGAGATCAAGCAGATGTTGCTTGAATTTTTGCCCCATTTGTGCCATGACCCTCTCCTGCCACTGCCCAGACTTTCACACCCCTCCACTGTAGGGCCGACTTTCCTTCCAGAGTTCTGATTCTAAGAACCACAGTTAAGTCTTCTTTAATTGTTCACCTCCCAGATGACAGGCCGAGACCTTCTCAAGGATCGAAGTCTGAAGCCTATGAAGATCGCGGAGAGTGACATTGACGTGAGTGAGCAGAGTGACAGGCTGATCCCTCAGCTGCCTCCTGACCCAGACCCGGCGAGGGCAGCTTCCAGAAGGGTTTGGATGGTTCTGTAGCTAGAGGCTTTCTGCTCTTACCCCCAGGCCATGCCCTGTTCTCATTCTCCCAGGCCCTCCCCAACCTGTTTTTGCTTATAGGTCAAGCTGAGTGTCTTCTGTGAACAAGACAGGATCCTCCAGGACTTGGAAGACAAGATACGAGCCCTCAAGGAGAACAAAGTATGCATCAGTTTGCATAATCTTGGGATGGGTGGGGGGACATTTTGTCACTGAGTTTTTCCTGAGACATTGACTGAACTCTCATTTTAGTATTGAACAACATGATTACTTTATCCACAACAGTGCCTTTGCTTTAAGTGATGCTTCTTTGAGGGTTTCTCCTCTCAGCCTATTTGTTCTAGATACCCTCACTCCTCCATTCTGCTCTGGCCCATCTCTCCCTGGAGGCCCTGAGAGATGAGCCTGGGAGAGGAGCTCCACTGGCTTCTATGTGATGACCCAGGCATCTAGGCCCTAGGGAAGGGGCCCAGAGTTTTCTATCAACTCTTTCATTTATCTTCATACTTTACCCCATAAAGAGTTAGGTGGCTTTATGTCCATTTTATAGATGAGGAAACAGAAGCACAGAGCTGTTAGAATTTTTGGCCCTTCTACAGAATCAGAACTGGTATCAGATGCCCTGCCCCTCAGCCCACAGCTGGTGTTTTCAGCCTTAGTTAGATCCAGCAGCTTTCTTTGTTCCTGGTATGGAGAGGCCTCTGGGGGCTATTTTCTCATCCTGTTGCTCTTCAACCCTTTCTGGTGTAGGACCAGCTAGAATCTGTGCTGGAGGTGTTACACAGACAGATGGAGCAGTACCGAGACCAGCCCCAGCACCTGGAGAAGATTTCCTACCAGCAGAGGCTGCTGCAGGAGGACCTTGTCCACATCCGAGCTGAGCTGTCCAGAGAGTCCACTGTGCGTGGAGGGTGGGGAGGGGGGCAGACACTTCCCCTCAGAACGGGCAGGCCACGGGCTGCTGTTCTCATCTCCTCAGCTGAAGTTGAGATGGTAGCCAGGGGAAAGTCTTGGAATAGAAGAACTTCTCCAGCCCACCTCTCTACAACAGCTTTTTTAGGGGTGACAAGTCTGTTTCCACCTGTGCCTTAGATTGTTTTCTATCAGGGGCTTCCAGATGACTGAGGACACTCAAGGACCCAGATTACTCAGAGCAGCCTGTAGGCTGTATTCTGATCTGTGTGCAGTTAATTCTAGGCCTTCATAATTTTCACATTTTAGTTTCTGAGTCTGATGTGGGTGCAGGCCCTTCTGCAAGGGAAGGGAATTAAAGTGTTCCTGAATGGAAGAGTGCGGGTGGCCAGGGTCAAGTAGCACATTTGTTCCTACTCTGGTCTCTATCCCACCAGACCTGCTGAAGGCCCATTGAGTCCCTTTCCCACTTTCCCTGACTGGGTCAGCTCAAGGTCAGGAGCTCAGGTGCTCTTGAGGCCACTTGGGAGGCCAGGGATAATTTGGAACAAGAAGCATTTCCTTGACCAACAGGAGATGGAAAATGCCTGGAATGAGTACCTGAAGTTGGAGAGGGATGTGGCGCAGCTGAAGCAGACCCTGCAGGAGCAACACAGAAGAGCCTTTTTTTTCCAGGTGACCAAGGGCTGTTCATCCCTCTGACGTATGGTTGCCTCTGAGTCACTACCCCAGAACTTTCTCTTCCTTAGCCCTGTGAAGTGACCCCCTTAAGCTCTCCCTTGAGAGATCCCTTCCTTCAACTAGGCCATGATGAGAAGCCTCACCCAAGATCCCATGCCTCTCTGCTCTCAGAGACAGACTCTTGTTTGTTTTGGAAGGGGTTTTCTTCTGATCCTTTGGAGAAGTAGACCAATACCAACCTGGAGCACTTTACAGAGATGGAGCTGTGAGAGTGATGTGTGTTTCCTTCTTGAGTTCCTTAGACAGATTAGACAGGAGCAGGAAGCCCCACCTGAGTCCTGCCTCAGATTCCTGAAGATAGATGCTATCATCCCTCTGCCTGAGGAGAGAATATGACCAGTCCATTGAGGTGCCTCTGGTCTCCAGGCATTCATTTGCATTTCTGGAGGCCAATCTGGGTGATACCTATCTTTGTGGCCCCTGCCTCACCTGGAAAGGTGACTTTAGAGCCTTGCCTCCTTACCTTAAAATCCAGGCCACCCCCATGGACAGTAGCCTCTGTCTCAACAAAGGTGAGACAATGAAACGCCCAGTATGGTTTCTCTTCTTCCAGGTTGGGTCCCCAAGCTGCCCTCCTCAGATTGTGGTGCCCAACCAGGTTTCTACCCCACCCTTAATTTTTTTTTCTTTTCTTTTCTCTTCTCTTCTCTCCTCTTTTCTTTTCTTTCTTGTGTGTGTGGTGCTGGGGATTGAACCCAGGGCCTCACACGTGCCAGGCAAGCACTCTACCACTGAGCAACCTTCCCAGCTCTACCCACCCTTACATTTTTAAAAACGGAAAATGACCTGCTTTCCAAATCAACTTCAGATCTCTGTCTCCTTCTTTCAGGACTCTGACATAAATTCTGTTTATTGAATTCAGCAAGTATTCATAGAGGCTTTTTTTGTACCATATCATGCCAATTTTGTTGGGATGCTAACTGATGACTTGAGTCTACATTATACATACTAATTGAAGACTTAAGTATACATACTAATGAGGTGCCATGTAATATTTTGATACATGTATACATTTTATAAAGTTTATAACAGGGTAAGCATGTCTGTCTCCTTCAATATTTATTATCCCTTTGTGGTAAAATACATGTGGTAAATATTTCTTCTTCTTCTTCCTTTTTTTTTTTTTTTTTGAGATTTATATTGTATTATTGCTACCTACTGTGATGTTTGTCAACTTTTGAGATGTATCTCATTTCAACTCAGCAAGTCTACTTCTAGGAACCTGTCTTAGAGAAATGCTTATGAATGAGTCTGAAAAGGCAGTTACATTCAGGTGATTTAATGAATATGTGAACTCTAAGGAGTTTAGGTTTGTTGTGTCCTGAGACTTTTCCCTGGATTCCACTGTTCCCTGGAGACTTTTGCCTCTGACTCCAGGCTGCTGGGGTATGTGGTTTCCCAGAACCTATCTGTCTCTTGTTGTTGTCCCTGCAACCTAACTTTCCTTCATCTGTGCTAACATTTTCTTATGTTTTTCCCCCCTCCCTCCCTCCCTCCTTCCTTCCCTCCCTCCCTCTCTTCCTTGAACTTCAATGATCCATGCTGATTTTAGCAGGAATTTTTTTTAGCTTTTATAGTTATATTCATATTTTTCTATAATTATACAAATCATACATGAATACATTTTTCAGAAAAATTCAAACAATGAGAAGCAAAAACATAATGATAAAAAAATCTCTTCTCTCTTGTGTTCTACCCCACTCCTCTCACCCTCCCTGCATGTAGTCAGGGCTGCCAGTTTGTGGTGTTCTCTTTCTGCTCATTTTGTGTGCATTTATAAGCATATGTGTCTACATAGAATCATATAATTTATTTGGGTTTGGGAGCAAGTAAAAGATTTACTTTAAGAGGTTCACACATACCATTTGGTGACTTCCTTTTTATTATAACTTTATGTTGTGGAAATCTTTCTAGGAATGATGCTCTCAAGTTTATGATATTTCTATCTAAATTAATTACAACTAAAATTAAAAATGAATTCTTCATTTATACCAGACTCATCCCACGTGCTCAGAAACCGTCATAGTGGATAACACAGGTTACAGAAGATTTCCAGAATCTTAGAAAGTTGTATGGGACAGCAAGAGTCTAAGTAAAGTAAAGTAAATTAGTTCTTGATTGCAACATACTATTTCATAGCCTGGATATTCCCTACTTTATTAGCCATTGCTCTCGTGGTGGGCATTTAAGTGATTTCTAGCATTTTGCTTTCGTAAACTGTGCTGTCATGAACATACTTGTAATTGCCTTTTCAGACTCATTCATAAGCATTTCTCTAAGATAGGTTCTTAGGAGTAGACTTGCTAAGTTGAAATGAGACACATCTCACAAGTTGACAAATATCATTATAGGTAGCAATAATACAAATATACATCTCAAAAAAAAAGAAGAAGAAGAAAAAAATATTTCACATATTTTACCACAAAGGGATAATAAATATTGGAGGAGACAGATATGTTTACCCTGATATAAACTTTATAAAATGTATACATGTATCAAAACATTACATGGACCTCATTAGTATATATAATTTAAATGTCTTTATGTATCAGTAACAATTTTTTTTTTTTTTGTACCAGGGATTGAACTCAGGGGCACTCAACCACTGAGCCACATCCCCAGCCCTATTTTGTATTTTATTTAGAGACAAGGTGTCAGTGAGTTGCTTAGTGCCTCACTTTTGCTGAGGCTGGCTTTGAACCCCCTCCTGCTTCAGCCTCCTGAGCTGCTGGGATTACAGGCATGCACCACAGTCACAAGTATTTTTAAATACAAAAAAGTTAATAAATATTGCCAAATTGCCGTCTAAAAGACTGCACTAATTTACTCTCCCATTCACAGTGACTGAGAATGCTGAGTCTGTTTGCTGTATCCTGGCCAGCACTTGATGTTATCAGTCTTTTTAATATTTGCCAGTCTGTTGGCTAAAAATGACATCTTGCTTTAATTTACATTTATATAATTAGTGGTAAGTTAAACTGTGTGTGTGTGTGTTTGTGTGTGTTTTACTAGGGATTGAATCCAGGGGTGCTCTACCACTGAGCTATATCCTCAGTCCTTTTTTTTTAATATATTTTTTTTTTAGCTATATTGGGCACAATACCTTTATTTTACTTATTTATTTTTATGTGGTGCTGAGGATCGAACCCAGTGCCTCACACATGCTAGGCGAGCGCCCTACCGCTGAGCGCCAGCCCCAGCCTCTTTTCTTATTTTTTGAGACAGAATCTTTCAAATGCTCAGGCTAGTCTCGAACTTGTAATCTTCCTGCCTCAGTCTCCCAAATAGTTGGTATTACAGGCTTATACCACCACTCTAGGCTTAAGTTAAACATTTTTAAATATGATTATTGGGTATTTGTGTTCCTACTGTATTTCATAGTGATTAAATACATAATAGACTCAGAATCATTTTTTCCCCCTCTAAAACATAAATCTGCAGAGTAAAATAGATCTTGTTACAAACTACCTGGAGAATTGAGTCCTTTAAGTTTCTAGCAGATGGACAAGCCTGCCTGTGGCCTATGGCTTTGTTTTAATGTTGTTCCATGGCATTGCTCAGGCTTTCTGAGAGCTTCAGTGACCTAGGAGTCATAGCCCTGTTTGATCAGGCTCTGTGCTAAGCTCTTCGGTGTAATCCTAGGCCAGGCAGGCTGTTAAAGCCCTAGACAAATCATGAACACTGGGGGTATGCTTGCAACCCATCTGCAACTTCTCAGTAATGGCTTGGAAATTCACCTCTGTTACTTTGGTTTGGCTGTGAGAAAGTTCATAATCTTTTCAGTGAAGTGGGCAGCTTTATTTGTAAAGGTCTTCATGGCCGCCTAGTCATCAAGGAAACCAAGGGATAGAATACCCAGGGAACAGTGTGGTAAGAAGCCGTGATAGGTGAGGCTACCTGTAGGTGTTCCCATCCCGACCCTGGACAGGGAGTCCAAACCTGTGCTGACAGGCTTCCACCCATGGGGTATAAGGATACAGGAGTAAAACCCTACCTCCTTGTTCCCCAAAGCTCCCCCACACCTCATTGTTAAGTTGCAAAATTCCATCACCCTTGGAGAAAGAGACTGTCTGGCCTTTGCTCCTCCCTGCTCTTTTACATGTAGAAATGTCAGAAAGGCAAAAGGGATAGGAGAATGGGCTGACAGGAGTGCTTTGCTTGAGAGCTAAGGAGGAGGAAGAGGAGAGATGTTTTCCCTTTTACTTTTTCCAAGCACTCAGCTTGGGGACTTCAATTCTGGAGACCATCCCTGTTAACTTACATACTGTAAGGGCAGCAGTGCGCCTGCCTGTTTCAGGATGGTACTTGAGTGTGGGGCTGAGTTCCAAGCTTGTTCCTTGCTTGTCAGCCCCGAGGGTACACTTTGCTGTTGGGACAAGGAGAATGGAAGCATGAGCCCTCTTGGCACAGGAGCCTTTGGACATCTGCTGTCATAGCTGTTGGAAAGTATTTGACTGAGGATTTTACATGAAGATTAACTGAGGATTTTACTTTTTTCACTCAATGTATGTGCACTGAAAATCTGCTAAGTACCAGACCCTATGGGGGAGTATCTAGGAGCACACAATCTAGTTGCGGAATTGGGCAGGTTGGTAAGTATCATGTAGTGTGAGAACTCTTCCCGTTGAAGGGCATCCAGGAACCTTGAGAGGAGATGGGGGGTGTGAAACTTGCTTTTCGTTTTGTCCTTCGAGTGGGACCAAGTCTGTCTTCCCTCCATTGTAACTTAAAAATCAAAAGAATACTACATCTGGGTTGGGATGCAGTGCTTGCCAAGTATGTGTGATGTCCTTCGCTCAATCTACAGGACCACAAAAAAACTACATCTGAAGTTTACACATCCCCATTAGAAGATGGCCACAACCCCTTAACCACATCAGGCCCCTCTTCATCTCCTTTAGGTCCTCATCCTATCCGATCTTGGTTGTAATTGTGCATATGATCATATAGCATAGTTCTTTTCCCATTGTACTTTTTATGAAAAAAAGTTTTATCATATTATAATCTACGTACCACAAAATTCACTTTTTTTTTTTTTGGTACCAGGGATTGAACCCAGGGGTGCTTAACCGCTGAGCCACATTTCCAGCCCTTTTTTGTATTTTGTTTAGTGACAGGGTTTCAATGAATTGCTTAGGGTTGGTTTTGTTAAGTTGCTGAGGCTGGATTTGAATTAGGGGATCCTCCTGCCTCAGCCTCCCTAGTTGCTGGGATTACAGGAGTGTACCACCGCACCCAGAAAAATTTGCCTTTTTAAGTGTACAACTCAGTGTATTTTGTGTATTCACAGCATTGTGCAGCTGTCAGCACAATTTTATAACATTTTCATCACCTCTCAATAGTAGCCCTGTGCCCACTGTCATTCCCTATCTCCCCAATTCCCTACTCCACCCTTGTCAACTCTTAATCCACTTTCTGTCTCTATGGCTTTGCCTATTCTTTACATTTTACATAAAAGAAATATATAACATGGCATTTTGTGCCTGGCTTCTTTTCCTTAGTGTAGTGTTTTTAGAGTTCATCCACGTTGTGGCACGTATCAGTACTTCAACACTTTTTATGGCCAAATAATATTCCATTGCCCATTGTACTTCTAACTAAGCCTCAAATCCCAGGATTCTGCTCTGACTTTAAAAAGAAAAGTTAAGGGGTTGGGGTGGTGGCTCAGTGGTAGAGCACTTACCTAGCACACATGAGGCACTGGGTTCAATCCTCAGCACCACATAAAAATGAAATAAAGATATCGTGTTCACCTTCAACTAAAAAAAATAAATATTTTTTTTTAAAAGAAAAGTTAAATTCTAGAGGTAATTTAACCTCCAGTCCTTGCCTTCCCTCCTCCTCTGCTGCTATGGTTGCATAAGACAGTTTATATATATATATATGTATATATATATATATATGTGTGTGTATATATATATATATGTATATATATAAACTATACAAACAGAAATTTTTTCATCTTAACCATTTTTAATTGATTAATTTATTGGGGATTGAACTCAGGGATGCTTAACCACTGAGCAACATCCCCAGCCCTTTTTATTTTTTATTTTGAGACAGGGTCTTGCTAAGTTGCTTAGGGTCTCGCTATTCAAGATCCTCCTGCCTCAGCCTCCTGAGCCACTGGGATTTCACGCATGTACTACCCATGCGTGGCCATCCTAACGATTTTTAAGAGTACAGCTCTATATTGTTAAGTACATTCACACTGCTGTTCACCCATCTCCAGAACTTTACACTTGAACAAAACTATTAAACAGCTCCCCATCCTCCCTTTCCCCACTCCTGGCAGCCACTATTCTACTTCCTGTCTCTATGAAATTAACTACTCTAGATACTTCACTCAGTATTTAAATGGAATCCTATAATATTTACAACAGTCTGTTTTTAAATTAGGTAGAAATAGGCAAACTGAACTGGTGAAAGCTATTCCAGAATTTCTCCCTAGACCTTGATCCACTTCCCTAGGAGGCTGTGAGCAGGCTTGACCCTAGTCCTGGTACAGTTTCTAAAGCAGGTGCTGCCCCTCAGGGGGAGGGACTGTATGAAATGGCAAGATAAATCTCAAGAAGAAAATTCTGGTAAGGAGCTAAGAAGGCAATGAACCACCTGCTTGCCTTCCCCAGGAGAAGTCACAGATACAGAAGGATCTGTGGAGGATCGAAGATGTCCTTGCAGGCCTGAGCGCAAATAAAGAGAACTATAGAATCCTGGTGGAATCGGTCAAAAATCCAGGTGAGGAGCATCTCCCTGGGTGTGGGGAATGGGTAGGGGTGGGTGGGATGGCGGTGGAGATGCAGATCTTTGTGGTACTATCACTCCACTGTTCCCCTGAAGAGTAGCGTCTTTATTCCATCCCATGATTATTTCCCTCCATGTCCCTTAGAGAGGAAAACGGTGCCTTTGTTCCCTCACCCGCCTGTGCCTTCACTCTCCACTTCTGAGAGCAAGCCACCCCTGCAGCCCAGCCCTCCCACCAGTCCTGTGCGGACCCCTTTGGAGGTTCGCCTCTTCCCGCAGCTGCAGACCTATGTGCCGTACCGACCTCACCCACCCCAACTGAGGAAAGTGACGTCCCCCCTTCAGTCACCAACTAAGACAAAGCCCAAAGTGGTAAGTTCTGGTGACTTGTTTTCTGAGTGTCTTGTTTTCCTCTCTGGCTGTTGACTGCCCTTTTCTGTCCTCAGATCACCTTATCTTGGGAGAAATGTTCTGCAGAAAACCTGAGGACACAGAAACCCACTGGAGTCCTTGGTCCTGAGCAGTTAAGGAGTTGTATTTACCCTGCTCTTGTGCCTTTGCCTCTTGGGACTGGCAGGGTTCTGAGAGATAGTCTAGCCCAACCCTCCCATTTTGCAGTTGGAAAAATTGAGGCCCAGCAAGAAGTGACTGGACTGAGTGGGGTGGAATTTGTGATCTGCACCGTGTAGAGGGTTGTGTGGCTGTTGGTGAGGCTGTCCCCACACAGGGTCCAAGGAGGCCTGCAGAGGCTTGCCTGCAGTTACATAGCCTGGATTGGGCAAGGAGCTCCTTCCAGCAAGGAGCTACTTCCCACCCCCAAGTTGAGCACTGTGCTGGTCTGTGAGGTTGCATATAGCCTCATAGGGTATGGACAGGAAAGACAGTATCCCCATCCCATAGAGAAGAAAACTAAAGCCCCAGGGTGTTGAAACTCGCCAAAGGTCTCCATATTAGATATTAAAGCCAGCATCTCCATACTCTTCTGTTTTATTCTGGACCCCCAGCCCAGGTCTTTGGGTCAAGTCTGTGGCCCATGTGGGGTAGCCTGCACCAACACCTTGGCTTGCTTGGCATAGAGAGGAGCCAAGCTCTTGGCAAGATCTCGGAGCACAGGAGATTTTAAAGAAATAGAAGATGTGGTCAGGTGCCATGATACTTCTACCTCTACAACAAGGCCAGCCTTGTGTGGAGAACAAAAGGGGTCTGACCCAAAGGCAGGGAAGCCAGAGCTGAAGGGACCTTGGCATGTGGGGCTCCTGGTTTTTGCCAATAAAGGTTTGCAGGAGCCTTGCCTGGAACCATGTGTGCCCAGGGCTTCTGATTAGGTTGACACACAGTGCTGGGAAAGCACAGGCATTCCCTGGACCTCACCATTCACCTGCATCCCTCTGTGGCCTGTGACCCATTCAGAGTCACTGTGAATTTTCCCATTTTGAGATCTCCTTCATAGTCCTAGATCTAAGAAGCAGATTGGAGCACCAACCATAAAATACCAAAACAGAGAGCAGAGATGTCTGAGGCAGATGGCTGTTGATGTACAGCAGGGTACCCATCATCTGGGTTGAGGAATAGGAGGGAAAGGTACAACCTGGGAGCTCGGATGCCTGGAGTCTGGTCCTTGTTCTCTCTCTGTATCCTTGGGTATGTCCATCCTTTTTCTGAGCTTCAGTTTCCCTTGAGTAGACGATCACAGAGACTTCTCACAGTTGGTCCTCTATGGCTCCTGGGCAGGGCTGTTTCTGCTCAGGTGAGAATCAGGGTCACTGGGGGTCTTTTCTCCTTGTTGTAATACATGTGGGCTTACCAGTGTTAGCACTTACGTTGCATATCTGATTTTTAACATCCTGAAAATAACATAGAACAAGAAAATATAATTAAACAACAATGAAGGGACCACTCATGTTATACTAACATCTGGACCAGGGCTGGGGATGTGGCTCAAGCGGTAGTGAGCTCGCCTGGCATGCGTGCGGCCCGGGTTCGATCCTCAGCACCACATACAAACAAAGATGTTGTGTCCGCCGATAACTAAAAAATAAATATTAAAATTCTCAACAAAACAAAACAAAACATCTGGACCAACAAATAGAACTTTGCCCACAAACTTTCAAGGAGTCTTTAGGCGTGTAGGTCCCTTTCAGTTCCAGGCCCCTCCCTTTCTGCCAGAAGTAAGCATGATCCTAATTTATGTATAATATTCCCTGGCTTTTTTCTTTTAGTTTGACCATCTGTGTTTTCATCCCTAAGCACTTTAATTATGCTGGTATGTATCACTGAACTGCCTTTCATCTTGCAACTTTTTTTTTTTTTTAGAGAGAGAATTTTTTAATATTTATTTTTTAGTTATCGGCAGACACAACATCTTTGTATGTGGTGCTGAGGATCGAACCTGGGCTGCACACATCCCAGGCGAGCGCGCTACTGCTTGAGCCACATCCCCAGCCCCTCATCTTGCATCTTTTCAACAATATCATTTGTGAGATTCATCCACATCGTTGCATATAGCTATAGGTCTTTCACTTTCATTTGGCTTCTTTTATTGAATTTAATGTCATTTTTAAATTAGATAATCTCAAAAGAGTGTAAAACCAAAAGATATATTTTCTAAATATATGATAAATCATCTCCCTCCCACCCTCTGTTTCTATAGATATTCTGTACTCTTCAATCATAGGCAGTCAGTGTTTTGTGCATATCTTCCTGAAGAGCTTTGTAAAAATTGGTGATCCCCATGTCTTGTCAAGGTTGGAAACTGCTGATTCTCAGAGAATTAGTGGGTATCTTAAATAGTTTACTTTCTACACATCAGTGAAGTGTGTTGCTTTAAAAGAATTCTGGTAAATCTTTGCAAAGCAAGCTTGGACTGAACCCTTTCCTGAACTCTGCAAAAATCTGAAAAACAAAGCCAAATGAGGCTAAGAAAAGATGAATATAGGAAGAGGGAGGCGAGATGGTCATTAGTGGGTGTGCATGGTAGTTGGGGGCCAGTCTGCAGATGTGGAGAGGAGCCACAACCCTCAGAAAGCACTGTGAACAAGGAGTTTCAAGGAAAACAGTCACATTTGTAACATCCCAGGGCGGGAAGTGAGTCGCTCATCCTATGACTGACTCTTGTGTCTGGAATCAGGAATGAGGAAATAGTTTGTAACCATGCACATTTCTGAGAGAAAGGGAAGAAGTGGTAGACTCTGTTCTTGCTCAGATCATTGCCCTGTTGAAGGATCCAGATTCTGTGCAGGAGCAGTGGGCCAGCTAAGGCTAAGCACAGTGGGGTGGAAAATGTGTTTGTTCTGCAGGGTGAGTACTGTCATCAGCTTAGAAATGACACAGAGTGGGGCTGAGGCTGTAGATCAGTGGTAAAGTGCTTGCCTAGCACATGTGAGGCACTGGGTTCAATCCCCAGCACCACATTAAAAATAAATAAAGATACTGTGTGTTCATCTACAATTAAATAAATATTTTTTTTAAAAAAGAAAAAGAAATGACACAGAGTTAGCAGCCTGCCTTCTTGTGGTGCATGCCAAAGAACTGGAGTGGACAATTTGGTACAATGCCAAGTACAGAACCAGGAGCCTACTTCTTGGATTTGGGGACACAGTACATACAGATAACACTTTGAAAAATAGAAAATATATGAGTCAAAGGGAAGAATAAAGTTGGAGCAGAGGCACGTCCCCTCTTCACAGCTTCTCCAAAGGAAATGTTCACACTGTTTGGTCTCTGAAGTTTCAGCTCGCTAGGTCACCAGTGTGGCATTGCCACTCAGCAGTCCTCCCTCCAGCTCCGTTCCACTGGGCACTGATTCTGGTTCTTTTTCCAACCAGGAAGAGGAGGCACCTCCGAGACCCCCACTCCCTGAACTATACAGCCCAGAAGACCAGCCTCCAGCTGTGCCACCTCTGCCAAGAGAGGCCACTATCATCCGACACACTTCTGTGCGGGGCCTCAAGCGGCAGTCGGATGAGAGGAAGCGAGACCGGGAGCTGGGGCAGTGTGTGAATGGGGACTCACGGGTGAGCTAGAAGGACCCCTGAGGTTGTCCACTGAGAGTGGGGAGAGGAAAGGTGATGTGATGCTGGGCAGGTATGACAGTGTTACACTGCTCACAGGTGGAGCTGCGGTCATACGTTAGTGAGCCCGAGCTGGCCACCCTCAGTGGGGACATGACTCAGCCCTCCCTGGGACTTGAGGGACCTGAGAGCAGGTACCAGACACTGCCAGGCAGAGGTAAGGCAAGACCCTCTACAGAATCTTTTGGGGGAATCCCACCACACACTGCTTCCACCCCTCAGCCCATAGCTGCCTGCAGCGTTAGGCCAAGGCTTGGGTTGATGAAAGGAAGGACCTGGTTTCCCTTCCTCTCACTTATATCCCGATTCTCTTCCTCTTTTATTTTATTTTTTAAAAATATTTTTAGTTATAGATGGACAGAATACCTTTATTTTGTTTATTTAATGTTTTTTATGTGGTACTAGGGATTGAACCCAGTGCCTCCCCTATGCTCTATCACTGAGCCACAATCCCAGCCCCTCTTCCTCTTTTATTATATCTGTCACTGGAAACAGTGATAATAGCAATTACTATAAAACTCAAGACTGTTTAAGTACTTTATATAGACCTCATACTCAGTGCTGTGAGGGAATCGCTACTTCCCACTTTAGAACTTGGGAAACTAAGGCTGAGATGAGTTAAATAACTTGCCAGTTAGCTATTGGTGAGGGAGTCAGAAGACAGTCCCAGGGCTCTGACCTACAGGTTGGGGTGCTGGGCTGTTGCCACCAGCAAGCTAACTCAGGCCCTCCAGAGGGGTTTCTCCTCTTGTGCCACCCTAAGACTCAATCTTTTCTTAAACACTGTCTCAGGTGGAACCCCTCTTTCTGCCCTCCTTATCCCGAGTTGGGTAGTGCAGGATGCGTGAGAATGCAGCAGGAGGCAGGGGGTAGAGGGCACTGGCACCTTCTACCCACACAGCCCAGGGCTCCTGTAGGGAAGGGATGCCTAGAGTGGTTCATAGATCTGCAAGGAGTCTGTCCCTTGTTGGGGACAGAGGGCACCTCTGGACTGACCCATGTCCTCTATCTAGGGCCTTGCTCTAAGGAGAATGAAGGAAAAGTTGAATGGGGGTTGTTGGCTGGGCCCTCTTGGTCCCTCATGGGAGTGGGGGTAATTAGGGAAGGGCCAACGACTGTCTGCCTCATCACAAATATGCTTGACTCCTCTTTCTTCACAAAGGGCTCTCAGGGTCCACATCAAGGCTCCAGCAGTCGTCCACCATCGCTCCCTATGTCACGCTCCGGAGGGGTCTAAATGCTGAAAATAGCAAGGTGACTTTTCTTGTGAGTGATGTTGAGCTGGACATTGACTAGCAATTCTATGAGCACTAAGGATAGCCTCTGAGGTGACCTCAGCCCCTTGTGAGTTCAGGGTCCCTGTCACCCACTGCCTGTCAAGAAAGCCCTGCCTCTCTATTTTCTGAGGACCCTACATTTTCATCTCCAGTCTGGCAGGGTTGTGGGAGGGAGCCCAAGAAATGTGCATCCTGGTGTGCTGCATATGTGTCCAACTGGACAGGCCTGGGCCTCAGTGTTTGCATGTGCAGAATGGGGTGCTGCCCAGAAAGGTGGTGAGGACCAGGGACATCATGATGCTTAGAGAGAGTGGATCTCATAGCCAAGAGGAGTCCAACCAGAGAGTGTGAGAAACTAAGAAAAGGAATGAACTCAGAAGGGCTGCTGCCCTCTGTGTTCCCAGCCCAGCTGCTCTGTGTCTCTCACTTCCTCCTCCTCAGAGACCCAAGAGTGCCTTGGAGCGCCTGTACTCAGGGGACCACCAGCGGGGCAAGATGAGTGCAGAGGAGCAGCTTGAGCGCATGAAGCGGCACCAGAAGGCCCTGGTCCGGGAGCGCAAGAAGACACTGAGCCAAGGAGAAAGGGCGGGCCTGCCCTCATCCCGCTACCTATACCAGCCGCTCCCTGGAGATCTTGGCTCAGTATGTTAGGCAGGCGGGGCTGGGACAGGGAGCAGAGCTTTCCCTCGAACTGAGCACAGCTTCTCCAAGTTCCCCAAACACAAGCACGACACACCCATGAGTGAGTGGGCTGTTCACTAACGTAGATGGTTGAGAGAACATCCCATGGGGCTATTCGTCCACAACCCTGTCTACATGCGTGAGCTGGTCAAAGGGTGACCTGGAACTGGAGCAGGAAAGAGGATCCCACATTAGAGTTCCAGGAGTGTGAGAAAATATCCATTTCAGTTTTCTAAGCTAAGCACGAGAGAGGCTTTTGCAGGCATTCAGATCTTTCAGCTGAATTAAGGACTTGGGAATTTGGAGTTGAGGAGGAAGATGGCGATATGATTTGATGAGAAGTGCAAGCGAACCAACCAGCCTCCCAATTTTCCAAACAGATGTTGGAGGAAAGGAAGTCAGCTGCCCAAGGGTTGGTGGCCCACAATCTCAAAGGCGGTAGTCTCCTGCAGCATGTGGTGCTGAGAGGCCTCAGCATGCCCAGGAGAGCCAGGGGATTGGTGCTGCCCCTGGTGGTGCTCACTGGCACTGCATCCTGCCCAGAGTCGCCTTAGGTCTCTTTTGGAAACATTTTATATAACTTTTCTGTTTGAAATCATGTTTCCCTAGACCTCTAGCCTGACTGTTCTTTCCCTAATTCATTGCACAAGCTCTTTTGCTTTTAGTGTTACCGCTCATTACCTCTCTAATCCTGCCTGATTGTGTTTACAGAAGCTTCTGATTTGTAAAGAACATTATCTAACTGGCCTGTGCTCTTTGTTACCAGGCTTGTAATAGCCTCTGTTGTTTCCCTAGCTTAGCAAGCACCCCCAGATGTCACTCACCTTTCTGTTGCCCTCCTTTGTGCAGGTCTACTGACTCTAAAGCTGCCCCACAGCTTGAGCCAACCTGCTGCCTGAGGACCACAGTCATTGGCAGAGGTCTGGGCATTATGAATTTATCAAAATCCATGCCTTACACCTGGACAGTAGACATGGACTTCAGAGATTGTATGTTTGAATAAGTGCTACCAAATCTGAGGTTGTTCGATTTTAACTCTTTCAGTTCTATCACATAATTTCTTGTGGAAAACCTTTTGTGTTTCTGATATTTAATAACTTGAATTGATAGCAAAATAAACTATGTATTCAGAGGGACTCTCTGCAGCTATTAGCTCAGATACCAAAGGGATAAGACCCAGGACAGTCAAACCTTTAAAAGCTGCAAACCCAGTAACTTCTAAACTTCATAAGCAAATGTCATATGGGCTAATACTGACTTTTTACAACCTGATGTCTCAAATGTAGAGATTATCTAAAACTCATAAGTTGAATACCTTGTAATTTTTCTCTTAAGACTTGTGTAAGTCTCTGCATCAGCGCCAATAAACGTGTTGCCTAATAACAATGGATTGGCGTGGTTCTTCCCTAGGATACTCTCTAGAGTGTAGTGGACTTTTCCTGTTTGTGGAAACAATCAGGCTGGGTTTAAATGAGGACTTGTCTCTATTTGGAGAACTTGTGAGCGTGTAAGAGAATGTGCATTTTCTTTTTGAATCATTAAAATAATTCATCCCTGAACTTTAGCTACCTAATCCTGTAATTGGAAAACCATCACCCAAGGGCGATGACATAGTTTGGAGTCAGTACTGAGAGCTTGTGCATGAATGGGTGAAATGTGCTGATATGGCTATGGGTTTGGGGTTTGGAACAACTTGAGGGCCATGACTGCGTAGGGCTCTGAGGTGGGTGGGTTGGGAGGAGGAGATGACCTGGGATGGGTAAGTACCTTCTTTGTTCATTCTCAAGAGAAGAGAGGCTTTGAGCCTGCTCTGTTTTCAACAACCTGCTCAACAGTCAGAGGCCTGTGAGGACACAGGCCCAGGGTGAACAGGGAACCACCACAGAATTGAGCAGTTGTGCTTGGATCTTAAAATGGTTGGATTACATTTTCTCTTTTATGAAGAGTTCCTTGTTACAAGGAAATAGCCTTGGAATTATTACATTTGATTTGGCACTTAATTTAGTCTAAAGAAAGTGCCTATTCCAAATACTGTCATACACCACAGTTTGTCTGCTTCACTGGGTCCAACCTGTTCCTTCTTGGACTTCCTCAGCCCTGCTGTGGGTACAGTATCCCCCACCCCAAATGGATCCTGTTGGGAATACCTTATAGGCTTTTGGTTATTTCTACTTGCTTAGCAAGACCCTAAAGTCTTGTTTTATTCATTGTTTCTGAACCTGGGACATAAGGCTTCTGAACCCAAAAGGCCTATCACCTGTGGGGCAGCACACAAGCCAAATCCACCATCGGAAGCTCTGTTCCAGGTTCTCTTTGGGGTCTTGCTCTCAGACCTGGGAGCATTCAATATCCCTGGGGACCATCACAAACTTATATTGCCCACAGAAAGCATGTTTGAACTCTGGGGGTCCCAGATCAGAGAGCAATCAGCAATGTGAAATGGGCCATGTGAAGGAAACAAGGACCTTGTTCTCCAGTACATACAGAGTTACAGCACAATACTTTTCCCTGATGGGTCACAGATCCATCTTCCCAAGGGCCCCATGCCTGAAGGACTCATTCAAAAGTGGACCAGCAAGTCTCTCAGCAGTCAGGAAGTGACTGCAATTAACCTTCTTATTCTGTTGCCAGTGGAAGCGAGAGCAGGACTTTGACCTACAGTTATTGGAACGAGCCATGCAAGGGGAAAGAAAAGACAAGGAGGAGAATGGCTGGTTGAAAGTGCAGGCCCTGCCTGTCACAGAGTTGGACCTGGAACCTCAAGACTATGACTTGGACATCAGCAGAGAGGTGAGGGCAGGGGCTCCCTTCATGTCCCCCCCACAAGGAGGCATGGCCTTTGGACTGCCATCCTGATCAACCCTCCCACCAAGGGTATGTCCTGAATGGAGACACGATTTGGCTTCACTTTGGCCCAAGAGAATGAATGGATAGCAGCTTGAGGCAATAAAAGGAACCTAGGTGTTTGATGTAATTTGGGACAAACATAATAGTAACTTCTCAATCCTCATTAATAAAGTGGGATTAAGCAACTCAATATAATTCCTAGGAGGTTTAGCAGTGATCAGAAAGCCTGACACACAGTACATTTGTTGAGACAGTAGGTGCTATTGTTAGAAAAGGTTCCCTGGAATACCAAGAGTTAACCTTGTAACTGTCCAGCCAGCTGACTTGTGTTGTCAGACTGAGGGGAAAACATGGGACAGGTTTGAAAATCACCTTGAAATTTCCAGCCAGGATAAAAGTGAGGAGATGGTGCCTAATAGCTCTGGTCTGAATTCCTCTGTCGCCCTCTGGTGGCATGTGTGTATCATGTCAGGGCAGGCCTAGGAAAGCAAGTAACCACCTCCATCCCAGGGAAAAGAAAGGGGCAGGGGATGACAGTCTGGGTCTTCTAGACATTCATGGTCTCCTGTGGCCTGTATTGTGCCATCTGTAAGCTCTCCAGGGCAGTGTCTGTGACTTCTTGACTCACCTTTGTATCCTTAGCACCATGTCAGAACCCAATAAGTGCTCTGTAAATATTTACTGAAGGAAGACTTTGTTGAATGAATCACCGTGGCCCATAAATGTCAAGAAAACATTTTTACAAAGACTTGGCCTGCCCTGAAACTGCATGAGGGGAAGTGTTCTCACCACATGACGGATGGATTTGGTTTTAATAAACATCCCCCACAGGTTTGTCTGGTCTGAGAATGAGTGCCAAAGGGGAGCTATGCCTCCAGGTACCTTCCTCCTATTTTTAAGAGGCATGGCCAGACCACTCACAAGCTGATTTTGCCAGTAGGATCTACCTGACTTGATTGGTTAGGCACTCATGGGGGCTTTGAGAACAAAGGAGCTTTATGTGGGCAAATAGGTGCTTATGGAGTTACTGGGTTCTGGGGGTCAGCTGGGACTTCAGGGGTTAACAAAACTTGGTCATCTGCCCCTTGACCTTTTCTTTTTGGCTGCTGAAATACCAAAGATCTTTACTTTCTCAGATTCACAAAGAAGCCTCCACGTGCTGTCTTGGCAGTACACATGTGCACTATAGCGTCCTAATTTGCCGGTCAGCCCAGGGAAAAAAAATCCTTCCTTATCTCTAACCCAAATTCCTCCTGCTACAATGTAATCTACTTCCTTCCTCTAGATCTGTCCTCATTGGAAATAACAGAGAAGAGCTTATTTCTTGCCATCTTTCAGCAAAATGCAAGGGCTACATGAGTTTAAATCTGTTGGCCGTGAATAAAATCAGCCAAGTTGAGAACCAAAAAAAAACTACTTTGGGGCTAATTAGAATTGCAGTCCAGGAAAACAAGATTCAAGCATTCTTGAAAGTGTGTTCTGAGGTTTTATAAAATGATGGTTACATTTGTAGCATTAAACCACAAGGGGGGTTAGGAATTATGATTGTTGCTGACAAAAATTAAGCTTTTCTTGTAAGAAAGGGATTGGATACAGTCTGAGTCTGGATAGTTTGTGGGGAGGGATCTGTTGTACAGAATGTCATCAGCCGATAGTATTTCAAAGATAAGCTCACCTCTAGGTGGGCATGTTTGCAGCTCAGTTCAAAGGATCTGTTGCAGACAAATCTGAGATCTGATTAACAGTGGCCTCCTGACTCCATTTTAAGTGTGCTGAACCAATGATATTCCATTTTTATTTTCTTTTTCCTCCATAAATCTAAAATTAGATTTGTCCTAGGATCAGATTTAACTTGTTTTAGGGGAGCTTCAATCAACCCCATTTTAATAAGGGCCTGCAAAATTTGCCTTTAGTGTTCTTAATCCTGAGCATTATTTTACCAAATTGAGTTGGTCACTGGGTGAATGAAATACTTTGAGGGTTGGGGGTAGGTCTATTTCCTTCCTGGAAAGCAGCAGATACAGTATAGCTGCCTCCTATCTAGATCAGAAGAACTTTTGTAGAACAGAAACCACTATCACTTTCTTACATCCATCTCTCCATCCATCCATTCATCCATCTGTCCCATCATCCATTCAAAGAGGATTTGATGAAGGACTACTTGAGTGCCAGTCCCTGCATTAGACAGTGAGAGACAGTGATAAACAGAAAATGAGAGTAATGGAGGTTAGAAGAAGGACTGGGGAAGGGATTGGGGTGGGGTTGAAGGATGAGAGTCAGTGAAGCAAAAGAGGAGCATCCCAGTCAGGCGAAGAGCAGGAAGAAAGGCCCCACTGTTGGAGTGGCCCTTAAGGAACTGCTGGGTCAGTGTGGCTGGAGAAGTCACAGGGGCCAGATCACTAGGGCCTTGAGGGCAGTCCTAAGGATTATCATTTTTCTCTTAAAAGCTTTCAATGGGCGTTTGGCCTTGCCTTTCTCTTTCCTTAGCTTAGAGGAGGTTGATAAGTTGGTACGTTATCAACCCCACCATAAGTGATTGTCTGGTATAGCTGGCTTTGGTGTCAAACCAGGTTCAAATCCTGATCCACAATTGACTCATTTTATGATTTCAGCAAGTTACTTCATCTCTGTGGACTTCCTCATGGTGGGACAGTGGGGAAAGCAGGTCCCAAGCCAAAACATCTTAGCCTTCCCTTCCACCTTACCTCCTGGTCCTCTCCCCAGCTATCCAAACCAGAGAAGGTCTCTATCCCTGAGCGTTATGTGGAGCTGGATCCTGAAGAGCCACCTAGCCTGGAGGAGTTGCAGGCACGGTATCGGAAAGCTGAGAAGATTCGCAACATCCTCGCCCGGTCAAGGTCAGCTCTTACTTGTCTTACTAGTCTTTATATCCCGCTAGTATTGGCCCCACATGACATCTCATATGTGAGGAGACCAGGGCCAGGTTGGCTGGGGTGCATGTTTTGTCAATGTCTGTCTAAGGTGAGCTCCACTCATTGGAGGGGGCAGACAGGTCCTCAGATCAGTGAGAAATCTCACCTAAATCAACTAGAAAGTCCTAAAATACAACAGGAACCCTCACTCCCAAATCTGTCCCTGGTGATCCTAGAAAATGTGAGAAATGGAGCCCAGTTTGGAATTGAAGTGGACTCAGTTGGAGCTTAGCTCTAGTGATGGCCCTCCCATCATTTGGGCTCTTGCTTCCGCACACAGACCTGTAGACCAGGCCCTAGCCTTGTCCTGAGGGTGCCAGAGGCTTTGCCCACTATCCTGGATGTTGGGCTGGAACCCTAGGAAGTGGCTTTTCTGGCTCCTCTGCCTCCATAGCTTTAGAAACTTGTCATATATGAGCTTCCCTCACAGAGCTAGGTTAGCCGTTTTGTGTCTGAATTTAACAGGCGCCTCCAGATGGAGCCCTTAACTTAACGCCTGTGACCCTCCTATAATCATTGGATTGCTGGGGAGAAGCATGTACTCTTAAGTCTTGGGAGAAAGTCCACAGTTTGTAGCTGATGCTCTCCAAGTGTTGAGAACCTCCAGATCAGGAAAACCCTTCACTCCTGAGCTGATGCCCAGGATGGTGAGGGGCTATCATCTGCTTTCCGCCCCCCTGCAGCATGTGCAACCTGCAGCCGACGTCAGGCCAGGACCGCAACAGCCTGGCCGACCTGGACTCGCAGCTGCAAGAGCAGGAGCGTATCATCAACATCTCCTATGCCTTGGCCTCTGAGGCCTCCCAGCGCAGTAAGCAGGTGGCAGGTAAGGCCTGATGCCAGCCTCTAAGACCCAGTTCCCACCTGCTGTTCCTTGGGGCTTGGGCCCAACACAGCCTGTCCCAGAGCCAGGGAGTCAGTGGAAGTTGGCAGTTGAGAGCCAACTCTGACTAGAGGGTGTGCTGTCCTTGGAGGGAGGGTGTTGCTGTACGACTTCAGGTTTGTCAGGCTACTGAGCCAAGGGGCCAGGGCTAAGGTTTGTTTCCTCATGAAGAAGGAGCATTAAAGCCTCTGGTGCTTCTTCCCTGTTTACCCATCAGAGCATGTTGTGCCAGAAAGCAGAACTTGGAAAGTGAGACTCTGACAGCCAAATGGAAAGAAATATCACCATGTGTGTTTGCATGGCACATGGGTGTGTGCATGTGTTTGTAAAGGGGACTCCCACCTCCTTCCTCCACCCATGTCTTCCCTCTGTGTGGGAGACCTCTGTGTGTCTAGGTGCTGCCTCTGACCAGGGGTGCTCCTTCTGGTGTGGGGATGGTCATAGAACCTTAAGTGATGTCACAAGTCTCTACAGGTTTTCCAACTCTGGCTATAGGATCTAGTAATGGAAGGGTGGGGCCTTCAGGGCCCTGTGGTGACTGACACCCTGGGGAGTCTGGTGTGGGAAGTAGAGCTTTGCTTTGACCTTAGGGGGCCATGGGAGTGACCCGTGACAAAGAGAGGGCTCATAGTCTCAGCAAAAAACTGTTCTTTGTCCCTGTAGAGTCCCTGAAATCCCTGCTATCCTCACTCCCTTCAAAGACATGCTGAGGGGGCTGAGAGGTGGTCAGCATGGTGCTCTACAGCTAAGGACATAGGAGACAACCATCCAGACCCCTCTTCCTAATGACCTTGCGCTCCTCTCAGCAGCTTCTGAGCTCCTTCCCATGAGACTACCCTCACCCCAAGGCCCCTCCTCTCTGCTGTGCTTGCTCTAATTCTGGATCTGCCATCTTCAACTCCCTTACCACCAGCAGCTGGGCACTGCAGCTCCGTCATCCTTGGTCAGTTGGTGGCCTTTTTTACCTCCAACTCAGTAATGAACTGCACTTTTCCTTGCTCTTGCTTCCTCTTCTGTCTCAGGACCTATTAGGAACCACAGGCATTGGATCCTCCCAGGCCCAGGTCATTAGTGGGGGTCAGCAGGGCCCATGCCACCCAATCCTGCCAAGTGGGGGTGTCTGGTGCTGCAGGAATATATGAGTCTAAAACATCACTTAATTCATGTGTGCTCCGTCTAGCGCAGCAGCTGGCCCTCCTCCCGCCTAAAGCCCCCTTGTCCTCCAGGACGATGTCACCTTACTCCCCCTTAAGCAACGGACTCCACTACACCTTTGTCTAACACCTTCCAAGTAAGAGCCCCTGCCTGACGTGCCCCTGCGCTGCTCCCTGCTCCTCTCCTAGTGCTAAGCATGCCCCCAACTCCTTACCCTGCTGAGCTGATTGCAGTGATTCCTGCTGATATTCCCTTCTGTTGACACAGTGGCCGCTGGAGGGACCCGCCTGGAGAGTAGGCACGTTGGAGAATTGATGCTTTTTAGGTACTCTGTCCTCGGTAGCCCCCATACTATAGAGACCGCAACCTGGGTCACTCCCTCCCTGAAATCTCACTCCACACATCTTATTCTCCTTCCTCAGGACAACTTGACAACCCAAAGACCAGCACAGACCATGGCTGCCAGCCTTGGGGGTTGGAAAAAGAAGAGTTAGATCTTGGCCTTTCAGGCTTTAACCAAAGAAATTGAAGAACTGCAAGTTCCTTAGAAAAAGGCCAGATAGGCCAGTGCACAAGCAGGCTGGGTGCACTCCATGTCACACAGCATTGATGTCAGAGCAAGGACTGGGACTGCCTTTTTAGTCACTTAGCAACTTAGAGAGGCCCAGAGCCACATACAATTGGCTCTCAGCCAGTCGGGATTGGGAGGAAGGTCTGGCACCCTCCCCGTGGTGAGATGCAGATGGGGTAGAGAATGAGCCCTGGACCAGGAACCAGGAGGCCCACGTCTGGTAGGTTTTGAGTGGGCTCATGTCCTGTGCCAGTTGCTGCAGAGCCTCTTGCCTCACCTGGACAGGGAAGGATCAGATAGAGGTCTTACTGGTCCCTCCCCTGACACTCACTGTCATTTTTCAAAGTATTCCCCTCTCTTTCCTTTATATTTGTTATAGTTAACCTTGTTGAGTACCCACTATGTGCCAGGCATTGTGCTAAACGTCTCTTTTGACCCACACAACAACCCTGTGAAGATATTTACCCCCATTTTACAGATGAGAAAACGAAGCTCAGAGACCTTGAGGGACTTGTCCAAGGAGTCGCAGCTTGTAAGTTTCAGGGTTTGAAGCCCTTTGGTGTAGTCCAGAGCCTTTGTTCTCCATCACCACTCATGGACTTGTCTGGGCCACCCCAGGAGCTCTAGATGTCTGAAGAGAGGGAAGTGAGGGACACTACTTGTGTTGCCACAGGTGGAAATATGATTTTTGGCAGGGGTCCTCCAGCTGGGCATTCCCTAGGTTTTGGTTCCCTGGCCAAGTCTGCCTGAGGGTGGAAGGAAGAGGTCAGCCTTCTTGGGCCTGGCACTCAGATGTGGTGAGGAAGCCCAGAACTAGGAATCCTGGGGAGAAGCTTCAGCTGGGTCCTTTGTAAATGCTTTAGGGGCCTTCCAGGAGCATGGTAGGGTGTGGTTTCCTCCTAGAGATCTGAGAGGGATAATACCACACAGGCAGAGAGATAGGAAAGAGGCTTCACCCACCCTGGTTCTGGGGTGTTAGGCCTTGAATGCTCTTTTTATAATACATCCATATTCTTCTTCCCCTCACTGCCTCATTTGGAGGGTGGCATGATCCTCTATTTTTAGATTAGAAAAACAGCCCACAGAGGCTGAGTTATACAGAATTATTCAATGATGAAGGGCAAGGCCATAAATGGACCCCAGAGTCTTGCCCAGGTCCTTTGCTCTATTGCACAGAGATCCAGTTTAGGGACCTGCATGTGTCTGATGTACTTCCTAGAAGCAGAGACAGGGTGAGGCGCAGAGCCAAAGAGTCCTAGAAGCCAGTGGTCCCTCAGCAGCGGCCACATTGCCTAAGCCCTGTGCTCTGCTGCTCTGTCAATCCTGTCTGCCATTCTCTGTCGTCTGTGCACAGACATGCCCACTGCCTACTTTCCAGACATGAGGAGGGATCCCAACAACCTCTTATTATCTCATGTTTTTTTTTTTTTTTTTTGCCAGCCCAGGCAGTGATGGAACCGTGACCCATTGTGCAGAGGAAAAGCCTGGAGCCAGGGGCCCAGTGGAATCAACTTTCTCCCAGGAGATCGGCTTTTCTGCCCCCATGGAAACCCCTCCCAGCTGAGCAAGGGTTCTGGCTGGAAGAAGGAGCAGTCCACCAACCATGGGACAATCCCTGTGGGGCTCAGTCCTAACACACACTACTTTTTCAATTCAGACTCCTTTTTACAACCAACAAAAAGCACTTTTGATATACACTGTAAAATACTGACACTGTATTTTAGAATCAGAATATATTTTATAATGTTCACCTCAAGGGCTGAGTGGCTGGAAAGGTGAGAATGCAGGATTTTGTTGCTGCACATATAGATTCAGGTACTGTTGGGATAGTAAGTGTGGGTGGTGGGGATAAAGGCAGGGCAAGAAGAGGTCAGTCCAACTACTGATGAACTCAGGGGAAAGTTGGATTGACAATGTGCTTCCAGTGGATTCCAGCATTAATCTTGTTGGCATGCTGTCTGAGAAAAGAGGGCCCCTTGGCTGCAGAGATGAGCCATCCCTGACTTGACCTGACCTGACCTGATGACCAGCTCTGGGTGAAACTCCACCAGTATGCAAGGGGAACCCAAGTCTACAACTTAGCCCTTGGTTTTGGTTTAGGGACAACAGTGTGATCAAGAGCTTTGTCCTCTCCAACCTGCCCAGGAGGCTCCCTTAGCAAAGGGCTCTTCTCAGAAGAAAAGCAATTTGCTTTATTAAAAAATATATATACATGCACACACGTACACATTCATTTTGAGGTACAGAAAAGGTAAGATGAATCAACTTTTTTGTATTGTAGCAATAAGCTCCACACTAGGTGACATCTGTCTGAAAATCCCTGACTGAATGCTTCCCTTCAGGGAGGCTGTGTTGGGAACATTGGCTGCCTGCCCTGGAGAGCCCCAGGTCAGCTGCTCTAGGACTTGGGTCTGGTAGCAACAGAACAAGCAATGTGCTCTCCACCATCTCCAATGGGCCTGTCACCAGTGGGGCCACCATGGCAGGACTTGGACTTGACTTTCAGACCCAGGGAGGCTACCAAGCCAGGTGCAGTGTTTATGATCCTTTATTTAAGTTATATCATGATATCTTCTATATAGAAAAAGATGTTTAAAAGGAAAAAAACAGACACAAAAACCTCCATTGGGTGGAGCCACACTTTAGATCAAAATTTAACTATGCTCAGAAAAACAAACAAAAATCTTGAATATATTTAGAAGTTGCTATCTATTTTTAACTAACTCCATATGCTGCCAGTATCAACTTCATGACATTTGCCAAAATAAAATTTTATTTTTGCCTTTATAAGATTTTGTTGAAAAAAAATGAAATGACTATTTTGCAAGAAGAAGTTAATTTAAATAAAGGTGTGATGGTTTGCAAAAAAAAATGTGATGTACAGATTAAAATATTAATCTGATATGTTTCCTGTTTCTTGCTGGCTGTGTTCTCTCACAAGTGGTGGTGGTGATTTTTTTCCATTTCTTGGGAAAGTCCTCATTTCTTAGCTCTCACCCCTGCTTATGTTCACCTATGAAAATCCTCTCCTGATGACAGTTCCTTGACATTTGATTGGCTTTGGAAGTCTCAGGAAAGGAGGATTGGCGTCTCAGTCCTTGGCTGGGCTTAGCAGCTGCTCCGGTGGCCCCCACCTCACCCAGCCTACGAGCCGCCAGGCTGTGGACTCCCGTGTGGGGCTGATTTGGCAGGCAGACTGCAATCCAATCTGAGATAGCATAGGGGACACCACAGGCCCCCTTCCAACCCACATACCATTGGCTCCTTCCAATGAAGCGGGTTAGTGACGGACCATTGCAAACTAGATTTGTATTTAATTCGTTTTGACTTGTGATGTATGCTTAAAACAGAAGGCAAGAGGCCAGTTTGGTCGAGGGATGTGTCTACTTCCAGGATTGTTGTTATGGCAGTTTTTCTACATTGCCAAGAAGAGAATCCAAGTTTTGGGGTGACTTTCTAATTATTTAAACTGGGAAAAATAGATTCCAAGGCATTCTGGACAAAGGATACTGCTGCTTTTTTAACCACTGATTATTTTTTAATTTTGAAAAAAAATACTCTAGTTTTAAACATTACTTGGCGATATCACCATAACCGATGAAAGGGATAGGGTTGGGGGATAATTCCATTACTGAGTGCAGTGGCCTCCCAACAAAAATAAAAACAAACACAAACCCACAGGAGGCAATACCCAACTCACAGGGTAGCCATCTGTAGACATTTTCTCAGTGAAAACATGTCAACAGTTTTTGTACTCTTGGTCTGTTTCTCTTTCACACATACAATCCTGTGTATGAAGGAACATGGCAAGTCTCTATAGCTGCTGTTTCCAGAGTACGCCATCAGCAAGGAGGTGTAGCCTGCTCTATGAGAATCATGGCCCACATTTCAGTCTGCAGAGAAGAGTGACAGGCCTTCAGCTCAGACTCAGCCGAAAGCACTCGTGGTTCATAAAAGGTATATCCCAGCTACATGCGTGTAAGAGGTAGCATGGCCTCGCCCTTCTCAACTCTTCAAGAGGATTCTGGATACCTGAGGTAAGATGAAGCCATCTGTGAAAGCACTGGCTGACCAGGCAAACTTCAGGGTGAGGACAACTCCGGGGAACTCCATGTGGCCCAGCAATTCCAACTTCACTTACAGGGAGCCCCAGGGCCTGAGCCAAATTTTAAACAATGGAATTGCAGTTGACAAAGGGACATGAATATGCTTCTGTACCCACGTGTTGAATTTTTATTTTTATTTGTTGGTACCTGGAATTGAACCTAGGGTTGCCTAACCACTGAGCCACATTCTAGCCCTTTTAAAATATTTTGAGAGAGAGTCTCACTGAGTTGCAAGTGCCTTGCTAAGTTGCTGAAGCTGGCTTTGAACTTGCGATCCTCCTATCTCAGCCTCCCAAATTGCTGGGATTATAGGCGTGCGCTACCATGCCTAGCTCCACTTGTTGAATTTTTAATTCCTTTAACCCAGACCCAGGATGGCACCAGGATGTGTCTTTAGCATGAACCAACAAGAGTATTTTAGGATCTAGTCTTAAATAGGAGTTAGGAATAAAATCTTGTTTTCCTAATCCCCACTTGAATCTCCAGAACTGCCAATTTTCTCAACCTGTCTGGGACATTGTTTAAATAATTATGCTTGTACATACATTTTGAAGACATGTGAAGTAGATGTCCCAGACTAGTGTGGATGCGAAAAGAAGGTCCTTGTTCCTTGCCTGCGGTCCATTCTGCTTGCCTTGGTGTCTGATTGGGGCTGTGTAAGCTATAACAGTTCCCTCCCCTCCCTCTGAGATCTTGGCTGCCTTCAGGTAAGCTGGATTCTCCAGAATTTTCCTGGCTGTTTTAATTGACTGTCCAAGGCCAGGGATTCATCTGTCTGCTCAGGGACATTCTCCAGGGGCCTGAAGGTTTTGGGGGTCAGCTTTGGCAGGGAAAGTGTTTGGAGAGGGGCAGAGGTATACACAGTCTCAGTCTGATGGGAGCCTGTTTGGGGCTCTGGGAGTTTCCCACCGCTGCAGTGCAGTACTCCATGATAAGTCCTTTTGTGTTCTCACCAAGGGTGGGAAAAGAAGCAAATTATTTGTCTAATCCACAAATCATATTTCTGAGACATGGCAGGCCAATCCTGGGAGCCCTCTGCTTGAGACTCGGCGTCAGATGCTGAGCTGTGCAAGGGACTTTGCCAATGTGGGTTGCATGTCGTTATGAAAAGAACAAAGAGACCAGGCTAGGGAAGACATGAAAAATGGTAGCCCCTCCCAGCGCGGTAAACACACCATTGCTTTGCCGCCTCCACTCAAAAGGCTACCACTTTCATTGCTCCCCTAGCAAAGAAACCTTTCTTCAGAGCGAGTGGCAGGGTACAAAGGCAGAGCACAAAATGTGCACACATCACAGTCCCCGCAATTCTGTTTGAACAAGCATATTGATTGGGTCTGACCCTGTTACATTTTTTCCCTATTATTTGAAAAGGTGCATCTAAGTGTAGTGAATTGAACCAGCAGAGCTGAACTTTCCATGAAAACTTCTTGAGGTATTTCTTTAGTTCAAAGCTTTTGAATTTTAAAAGGGCATTTTTAATATGAGTCTGTTGAGTATTCTCTGCCACAGCCCAACAAGGCATGTTAAATGCAGATGAGGCTGGAGCAGGGAGGCTGGGGGTAGAGGCTGAGGCTATAGCTAGAGGGTATGGACCAGCTTGGCCTTAGGCTGAACCCCAGGCTTGGAAGCAATGTATACCCTAAAAGGGACCTCCCTGAGCACAAGGAGGACAGCTTAGCAATGGAGAAGAAGCTGCATGGCTAAGCTGCTGAAGCTAAGAAGCACTCACTGGGGACTCCTGATGAAGGAGGGTTGTGTCATGAGTGAAAGTCTCCTTTCTTCTCAGCTGCTTACTATCTCTCTTGCTCTGCCTTAGAACTGAGAAGGAATCGGGGAGGCAAAGAGCCCCTTTGGCTGAGGACCCAGCATCAGACAGGAAGTGACTGTAAGTGTTTGCAGTCATACACACACTTTGCCTCTGTCCCTTAGCCCTGGGTAGATCAAATTGATCAGTCACAGATGCTTTCCCTCTTCACTCTGAGCTGTGTCTCGATTGTTAACTGGTTTGATATCATTGGATGTTTTGCTAGTTGTGTGGGTAGTAGCCATGGTCCTACCTGGCATCCTGGCCCAGAGCCCTGTAACTATCTATAGAATCTCATTCTACCCCCCTTGTGCTCCAGAACAGACCATGGCTCCTTTTGAAGTTTCTGGCTTCTTGATGGCCCGTCTCTGCTTGTCTCTAGAGGCCTTTAGGCTCTAGAAAGCACCTCTTTCCTAGACCCAGAATTTGGGCTCAGAGGCAGATTTGTTCCTGGGAGGAGCTGGAAAATCAGGTCCTACATGGAAAGAACCCAGGGTTTGGACATCTTAGCAAAATCCTTTCAGTAAAATCCTTGCCAAATCTCCAATCTAGAAGACAGTGACCCAGGGGATCACAACAAGGACAGGATTATACTAAAAAAAAAAATAAAAATAAAAAAACAGTGGTTCTCTGGGCCCATTTTTGCCCACAGTTGTGGAAACACCAGCTCTCTCCAGAGTCCGCCACCTTGTCCTGGGAAGCCACATAAATGTTGAAATTCATTTTCTTGGCTATCATTTTCAGGCCTTCCTGCTGTTACTTGTATTTCTAGAGGCCACACTAGCCAGTGGGCACAAAGGAAGTCAATGACAGTAACAACTGAAACTTCTTGGCCTTTCCCAGTTCTGCTCACCATGGGGGCCTTAGCCAGTATCTCCATTGATCACTCCTGAGAGTCCCTAGACACACCTCATATAAGTTGTCAACAGTCCTCACTAGTTTAAGTTCCCCCACTTGCAGCTTTTAGATGTCTCCCGGAATGAGCTCCCCTGGGGCGGCCTCTCACCACTGCCCCTGAACTCCAGGAAAGCTGTTCCTTCTTGGCTTGTAGCCTCCTCCCCAAGCTGCAAACCCCTGAAGTATTGATGACTCTTCTCTCCACCAAGCCCTAGCTCCCTCATTTTTAATCTCTTGGGCCTCAAAGCAAGGCTGCTTGTGTTCCTTTACCTGGCTCTTGCATCCTCTGTGTCCCTCTCCTCACTCAGGACTCAGCCCTCTTTCAGATAGCTATTGTCGTGTGTTCAAAGGTCCCAAAACATGTTGGTTCAGCACCACAAGAGTTTATTATTTCTCATGATTCTACCATCTGGGCTGAGCTAAGCTGGGAAGGTCTTCAGGGACTGCAATGTCCGTCCACATTTGCTCCTTTACTCATCTGTGAGCCACCCACAGCGGGATGGCTGGGTGTGCCAGCATGGCTGGGCATCACTCTGTCTCCATCTCCAAGTGGCTGCTTGGTCTTCTGGTCTGAAGAAGCATGAAGGGCTTCTGGTAGTTGGACTTTTGACCTCAGCTGGCATCTCAGGGAAGCAAAGCTGCCAGGCCTTTAAAAGTTAAGTCTGGAATTGGCAGTGTCACTTCCTCCACATTCTTAGGTGCTTAGGGCACAAGCTTCACAAAGTGGGATGGTTTCTGTGACTGTCATCAATCAGAATTTCTGCCATGCAGTCTGCCTCATTACACTTGGCTTACCTGCCACCCTGTGGGCTCTGGGCAGCTGCCCTTCGCTCAGTGCCCACTACTACGGATGCTCACTGACTGCTGGGGGAAGGAGGGATTGGAGCATATGAGTGGGCTGTGGTGCCTACCTCCTGCTTCCCCATTTCTTGCTATTCCAGGAGAGCTGGCCCTGGGGTGACAATGCAGAGACCTAGAGAAAGTAGGAGCAAGCCCATGGGGAGCTATTGAAGTGAAGACATGTGAGCACACAATGGATGCACTGGACTTGGCACTTGGCGGGAGGGGATGGCAGAGGGACCTGGGATGCACAAT